ATTGTGCATAATGCAACTGGTCATATACCATATAATTCTTTTTATAGGAAATATTCAGGATAGGTGAATCCACAGAGATAGAAGCAGATCAGAGGTTACCAAGGGATGGGGAAGAAGAACAAAGAATGTTTACTTAATGTTTATGAGTGTTTTGTGACAGGATGAAAAAGTTTTAAAACTAGAGAGAGCTAGTGGTTGCATGACATTGTGACTACATTAATACCACTGAGTTATGAACTTTAAAAAAAACTTAGTTGTAGATGAACACATACCTTTATTTATTATTTTTTTCTGTGGTGCTGAGGTTTAAACCCAGTGCCTCCCACGTGCTAGGCAAGTGCCCTGCCACCAAGCCACAACTCCAGCCCTGGATTGTGCACTTTTAAAACCAAGCCTGCAAACACCTTGATCTTGGACTTCTAGCCTCCAGAAGTACAAAATTTTGTTGTTGTTTAAGCTATCCAATCTGTGGTATTTTGTTATTACAGCCTAAGCAAACCACCACAGGTCTGTTCTCTGTGTCTCCTCATTCTCCTTGGAAAGCCTCCAGATATTGTTCTGAGGGCAAGAAGCCAAACCACACCACACAAATACATTTAAAGCTTCTCTTCATACAACACCTGCTAACCATGCCATTGGCCATAGCAAATCACACAGACAAGAGATAAACTAGCTACTCTAGTGGGAAGTACTGCAAAGCTCACCACACATCCAAACCATAACAATGAGGCTTTAGCTTAATGACAGAATCCTAATGACCACAAAGAAAGGCAGTACCTCCCAAACAAAAGCTAAATACAGTCAAACTCTATATGTTTACAAGTATTTTTAAAATATCTTTTTGGAGATTCTGCAAGGTAAACAATCATTGTCATTGTATATGTGACTATTGCTATTCTACAACAACCTTTTGCCCCTGGGGGGAATGAGTTTCTATAATGTGTTTTCTTTATATTTCTTCAAAACATAGATATTGTTTTTATGGAAGAAAGCTTAAATTAGAAAGAGGAAACGAATAGATGAGAGGTGAGGAAATAAAACTTTGAATATAAATTCCTCAATGTCCATGGACTACTAATTCCAGGAACCTCTTTAGACATACAAATCCACTGATGTTCAAGTCCTTTATATAAAATGGTGTATTTGCAAATAACCTGCACACATTTGCCCATATACTTTAAGTCATTTCTAGATAATTTATAATATCTTATACAATGTAAGTACTATGTAAATAGTTGTTATACTATATTGCTTAAGAAATAATGACAAGAAAAAAATGTTTGAGGCAGGCACAGTGACACATGCCCAAAAGTCCCAGATACTTGGGAGGCTAAGGAGTTTTCAGAAGTTCAAGATTAGCTTGGACAACATAGCAAGACCCTGTTTCAAAAGGGGAAAAAGGAGGTGGAGGCGGAGGAAGAGGAGGAGGAAAAAAAAGTCTATATACATTTGGTAAGGATATGATTCACACTTGGTCCAATCCACAGTTGATTAAATCTGCCAGTGCATAGCCTGCAGCTATGGAGGGCCAACTATAATCTATTAGCACATCTAGCCAACACAACAGGGAGCAAAATCACAGACAGTTTAAGTAAGAAAAAATGGGAAAAAAATAATGCATACAAAATTAAATGCTTTATTCAACTCTATACTAATATATTTGGCAAACTACTTTAGGTGAGTTGATTGGGTAGGAAAATAGCAACACTCACCTTATTCCAGAAAAAAAAAATAGAAGAAAAATGTTTAAGAGGCAGAGTTTCACTATGCTGCCCAGACTGATCCTGAATTTGTGATACTCCTGCTTTAGCATACAGAGTAGCTGGGTTGGAGAGATTCATACCACCACTCCTAGTCAGGAAGAGATTTTTTTTAATGTAAATTTTTTTCAAATAAACTATTAAATATTGAGAAAATTGTTAACGAGCCTTCCAAGCAATTAAAGTACAAAAACTCAAAGTGGTGAGTTATTTTCAACTAGCTAGGGACCATTCTGATACAATTTAAACTAATCCATAAGCACAGAGAAAGAAACTCCCAGTTATAGAAATCAGGTTAACATAACTGATAACAAAATCTTACAATAACATAGAATATTTTTTAAAAGTAACCAAAACCCACCATTAGTGAAGAGAACATGATGTAAATTCTTCGATAACACAAAGACTCCAATAGTGCATTAAAAGAACAGTATACATAAGCAAATGGGAAAGTCACTACAGAAACCCAGGAATATTTCACTGTTCTTATAATTATGATTTTTATCAGAGTAATTCACCATATTGTTTGGTAAAAGGAATAAAAACATATTATCATGTCAACAAATACTCAAAAGGCACTTGATAAAATTCACCATCTATTTTTGGATTCTTCTTCTTCTTTTTTAAATCTTTAGAAAATGGACACATCTATGACATGCCAAAAAATACATATCTCAAATCAAAGTACTTTCTGGCATCTTTGCTTTTGATTTTTGACAACTAGAAACATTTATAGTTAAGATGAAGCCATGACTAGAATGCCAACTCCAACATTATTTTCTAACATTGTTCTGGAAAGGCCAAGACTGTTCTGAGCCACTGAGTCCAATTTCTTTTTTTTTAATATTTATTTTTTTAATTGTAGTTGGACACAATACCTTTATTCCATTCATTTATTTTTATGTGGTGCTGAGGATTGAACCCAGGGCCCCCGCACATGCTAGGTAAGCGCTCTACCACTGAACCACAATCCCAGCCCCTACGGAGTCCAATTTCAAGGGCTCTCCCTTCCCAAGCATGCTGGGCCAAGGGGATGAGATAGTGAGATGGAGAATATGAGATCAGGTCTGGCACAAAGCTAAATCTGTTGGCAGAAAGGTCAGAAGAGTACATTCATCTAACTGGTCTGAACAATTTGGGTGTCTTTAATTAATTGGTCCATTCATTCAGAGGATGTTCCTTTATCTAAAAGCAAGTGGGGAGGGGGCGGAGGACCACTGTTGGCAGTTCCTCAGCAGGCATAGTAGCCTATACTGTACTCAAAAAATGATTCGTATGAGCTCTGGGTAACACTGTATTAGTAAAGTTAGATGACAGGGTGAATCCAGTGGCAATAAATACAGGTAAAGGGGAATGAGTTATGATTATTTACACATTAAAAAATTCTATACACAGAAAAAAACAACAAGCAAAAACTATAAGAAACAGTAAAAGGTAAGGTGTAAGGCCAGTTATACAATTATTAGGTTAATAAGAACAATGGCTTTCCTATAAACAGATTACTGAGAAATCATAGTTCAAGAAGATATCACTTTGACAATTGCACCATGAGAATACATTTAGGGATAAATGTAGTGGGTTATATGTAAGACCCATATGTGGGAAACTATCAAGAAACACAAAATAAGGCTCGGTTAAATAGAGATATATAACTTGTCCTTTTATAGAATCAATACTGTGAATATAATAATTCTCCTAATCTACACATTTTAAAAAACTTCAATGGAATTTTAAAAACTGACTATGAAATCCATATAGAACATAAAGCTGTAAGACTAGTCAAAAAAATTCTGAAAGATATAGATATCAATCAGAGACTATCCAAAAAAATGTTGCTAAATAACTTTATTGATTAAAACAATATTATGCTAGTATAGTAAGAGACAGCCCAATAAAATTTTTAAAAGAAGGTTGGGTGTAACTCAGTGGTTGATTTCTACCTACCATGTGTGAAGCTCTGAGTTCAATCTTCAGCACCGAAAAAAAAAAATTAAAAACTAATTTTTTAAAAAAGGATCTAACATAGACCTAAGTACAAACAGAAATTTAGTATGTGATAAAAGTAACATTTCACATAGGTCAAAGTAGCATTATTAGTAAATAGTTTTGATACCTATTTGCCCAACAACTTAGGTGAAACAGACCAACTCCCTGAAAGCTGCCAACTACCAAAATTCACTTAAGAAGAAATGGATAATTTGAAGTTCAATATCTATTAAAGAAACTATATTTGTAATTAAAATCCTTCTGAGGAAGAAAATCCTGACCCAAATGTTTCATTGGTGAATTCTAGCAAACATTTAGAGAAACATATTAATTCTATACATTCTTTTCCAGAAAATAGAAAAGGAGGAACTACTTCACCACTCATTTCATGAGGTGAGCCTCACCTCAATATCAAAGCCTTTTAAAAACACTATGTGAAAAATATATAGTAAAAATACAATGTAATTCATCACATTAAGAGACAAAGAATAAATCAGTCTGGAAGTGGTGGTGGAAAGAATAAATCAGTCTGGAAGTGGTGGTGAATGCCTGTAATCCCAGCTACTCAGAAGCTGTCTTCAATCTGATAATTGACATCTACAAAAACCTACAATTAACATACTTCATGATCAAAGACTAAATGCTTTGACCGGAGCAAACCAAGATATCTAATCTCGTTACTCTTATTCAACATCATATCAGAAGTCCTAGCTAGTGCAATACGGCAGGAAGAAATAAAATACATACAGATTGAAGAGGAAGAAATGAAAGTATCTCTCTTCCCAGAAAACCCCAAGAAATCTACACAAAGTATTCTACAAGAGAGATTAGTAAAACCATAGAGATGGAGGGATTGGGGGAGTAGCTCAGTTGTAGAGTGCTTGCCTCGAATGTATGAGGCACTGGATTCAATCCTCTGCACCACATAAAAATAAATAAAAAATAAAGGTATTGAATCCATCAACAACTAAAAATATTTTTTAAAAATTATAGAGTTGTAGAACAAAACCAGTGCTTGCTGAGAAAGGTGGAGAGCATCAGATACAAAAGAGACATCATAAGGAAATCTAGGGGGATGATGTTTGAATTTGGTTGTGGTGGCAGTCACACAACTCTCTGAATTTGTCAAAATCCATGGAATTGTAACTAGAATGAGTGAAGTTTACTATACAGAACTGGAAATTTCATTGATTAATTTTTTGAACCATTGAGAAAATTGACTAGCTCACTCCAGCAAAATAAACTCCACATATATGAAGATTTGAACATATTACATTTAATTATAAAAGTGCTGTTATGAAAAACTGGGTATTTTATATCCTTAGAATGAGGACAGTTTTTGTTTTGTTTTGTAAGCATGACCTATAACCTGGAAACTATCAAAAAAACAGATTCATGAACCTGATAACACAAACAGTAACAATTTTCCTTGAAAAAAAAATGTTAAAAGCCAGATAACAATCTGCAGAGAAAAACACTTGCAACATATTTGCAGAGGTACCTCTTCCTTTGAAATGGGACCCCACCTTCCACCAAGACACACTTAATGGAGAATTTCCCAAACACTGGAGAGAGATACCAATGTCAAATGTCCAGCCTACATATCTGAAAAGAAAACTGCAGAACTATACACCTATGGACAAATCTATCCATTTACATAATAGAACACAGAACAAGAAAAAATTTAAATGATGAAAATTTAAGGGGATGATAATCATGGTTTGATTTTTAAACTTTTTCAACAATGATGTATTCATATAACACTTAAATGAAAATTTAAGTTAATTTTAGAATATGTAAATGGTCTATACAAATCATCCCCCCAAAATTTCTAAATGGTTAAAAGCTGTGAAAATGACTATATTTTTAAGCAAGAAACTTTCTTTAGACAAATACAGTAATACAAATACAGTAATGTTATAGTTCCTGTAGTACAATATAATCTCTGAATACCCTGAGGTATTCCATGTATTTATACCGATTTCCTGCAATTCACAGTTTATATTATTTTCATTTGCTACTAACTATATATTGTTGGGGGCTCAATTCTATTAAAGTGTAGATAAGCATTTTATTCACATTTTTATTTCAAATTTCATTTTGCATATAGTAAGCATACAATAAAAACATACATTGAATTGAGTAGATCTGCTTTGTTTGATCCAGAGGAACGTTCTTCTTCAATACCCACACCCTCATGTATCTAAAGGAAATTCTGATCAGTCAGCTCTGTTCCTAGTTTTGGTTCTGAGGAACTGGGGTCAGATTTAGAAGGGGCTGAACAGAGTTGCAAGTTCTAACCAATTAAAGTTGGAAATAGCAAGCACTGGCGTTTGAAAGGAAAGATTGAGCAGCTGGCTGAAGAGGTCTCCTTGGCCGGGCTCAGACAGTTTTCTGGCAGTGAGCAAGGAATGGGGAAGACATTCTGGTTTTACTGGGGTGAGCGGCTACAGTCTGTGAGGAATGACGGGGAGAAAGGTTTTTGAGATGTTTGCAGCACATTTATGGTCCACTCCAGATAAATGCTGTCACTTCCCCTGCGTGCCCATCTTGTTTAGTACGTAAGCGTCAGGCCTGGTGATAAGCACTCCACCCTGCGTGTTCTCATCTGACTCCCACAGGGAAAAAAGCCAAAGAAAAACAAAACCTTTCTGTTTGCTACATTACCATTTCGACTTTAGGGATAGGAAACTGGGGTTCAGAAAGGTAAAATGACATGCCTAACTAGCTACGGGGTCAGAGGCCAGGTCAGTGTGACAGCTCCGCTGAACAAGCATCTTGCTAGGCCCCTCTGCAGGCCCTCTGAGGCTGGGAGAGAGCGCCCCGCGCCGGGCCCAAGCCGGCCCGACCTCGCTTCCCTGCGAGAGTTACCACCACAGCTACGAGGCCGCCGCGCCCTTCGTCCCTCCTCCCCGGGGGCCGGGGTCGGGGATGCGAGGTCGACGGTACCCCTGGCGCGCCTCCGTCTTGTCCGTGCCTCACTCACCGCTGACGTCGCGCCGGGTGTGGCTGGTGGCACTTAGGGACCCGCTGGCCTCGACTGTTGGCCCCGCGCAGCCGCCGTCCACCCTAGGGATCTGACGCCCCCCGCGACCTGGGACCCACGCCCCCTCCAGCTCGAGGAGACCCCATTGACCCCGGCCCCGGGACCCTCCTGCCTGAGGAGACCCCACTCGACCCTCGGTGACAAGAAGGGCCGGAGGAGACGTAGGAAAGGGAACTGGAAAAACGGCCGTGATTACTTCAACCGCGTGTAAACGCATGTCTCGAAAGCGCTTCTGGTTGGGTAGACGGCCCTACACTTCCTAGCGGAGCCGGGCACTCAGAAGTCCGACCGCACGCCCCCTGCTGGGCACTGAGCAGACTCAGGAGGTGGCCTGAGGCGAGGCGCATATCCGCAGGGGCAGCCCACTGCGCATGCGCGAAATCGCGCGCCCCCTGCCGGATGTAGGCGCCGTATCCGGGTCACCACACAGGCGCGGAATTCTGAGGGCGCACGCGCAATGCGGCGCGCCCCCTGTCGGACGTGAACGACCGGTCGGGACACTGCGCAGACGCGCTATCGGGAGGGCTGAGGCGGCGGGGGCGGACCCCGCACCTGCAGGGTTGGCCCCCTGCGCACGCGCGAGCCAGCGCGCCCCCTGCTGGAGCTTGAGCGGCCGGGTGCGTTGGTCAGCAGTAGCCGGTCGCAGGCGCCCCCTCCCCGCAGGGCAGCCTCGCGGCTGTCACCGCGGCTACCGCTGCTCCTGCGAGGCTGGAGCGGAACTGCGAGGCCGAGGGAGGGGACCCTGCCAAAGGGCCGCGCGCCGGCCGCCGCCGCCCCGGCGCTGAGGGTCGGTGAGTGCTGCCGGGACCCGCCGCTCGCGCGCTGGCTCGCAGCTACGGGGGCTTCCCGCCCGCGCCCCGGCCTCTCCCGGACCTCGCCCCAGCCCCAGCCCGCCGCGCCCAACCGCCCGCGCGGGATCTTGCAGGTGCGCCTCCCCGGCGCCCGCAGCTCTGGGTGTGACCCAGTCCTGCGAGCTGCCCAAGGATCGGCGAACAGGAACGAGCTCGGGCAGCCGGGCCGCTGCGGAATCCTGCGTGCGGCGGGCCCAGCAGGTGGACCGACAGCCGCCGCCCTCTCTGCGCCGGCGTTGCCGGCTGCTGCGGAGCAGGCCCGCCGCACGCTCCCCGTGGGTCTCGACGGATCCCGACGTGGGTTGGGGTGCCTCCGACGTGGTAGTCTGCCCTACTTCACCTGCCCCCGCCTGCGAGTCTCACGCGGGCTCAGGGGTCCCCCGTCACGGGTGGGAGTTGGAGACGCCCGGGTGTGGGGGACAGGACAGGGGAGGGAGCCAGCGGCGCAGGCGACGGGCAGTGTGTCTGTGCGTGCTGGTGCTCCCAGAAGCGGCAAGCCCCGGAGGGTGCAGGTGGCCTCGCTGCATGCATGAATGCCCCTCCTCCTCTACTCAAATGAGGCTTGTCTTGGAGGGTATTTATGTCTTCCCATTTGCCTCCTGGTCTGGGAGCTCCTTGAAGCACGGATGGATCTTGCTGGTGTTTGCATTCCTGGCACCTAACAGGCACTCATGAAATGCTCCTGGATTTAGTGACTGAGGCACCCAGGCAGCATTTAAGGGGTTGAATTCCATTCGGTTCTCCTGAGCAACCGTATCGTTTAATTAAGAAGGGTTTGGGGCTACCTTTGGTAAACTTGAAAAGACTAAGTAAGTCAGTTTTAGAAAGCTTGCCTCATGAGAGAAAGTAGAGAATCAGTAAAAAAATGGATGTCATAGGGATCTCCTCCGTTAACAGTTTTAACTGCTTAGAGAGTTGATTTTTTATTTTTTGGGTTTTTTTTTTTTAATCGAGCCCTTACTATAGCTGACCAACAGGATGACATCTTTCCTTCTCTAAGGTGATCTACCACTGTTCTGACCAGATGACATTTTGGAGCACGAGAGGGTCGCTCCAAGTAGTTTTTTAAAAGTCTAGCCTTTCACAGCACCTGTCCAGGTAGCCTCATAGGAACCTGTTTTGATTTAGCCTCAACTAAAAGGCCTAAGTCAGAGTCCTGGATTTATAGTTTCTCCTGCATCCCTTCTGCCTGCAACAGCAGAAAGCTCCTCTGCTATGAGTCTATCCAGGGGCAACATTCTAGAATTCTGGGGACTGCCCATCACTGCTGTAACAAGCAAGGTTCTATGTTCCCTGCTCTTGAGGACCTTAGAATGGAATTAAAGAGATGATTTTTTCACAAGTAACTGTGGCATAAGACAGAAGGAGATAAATGCCACATGACACACCTAGAAAAGGTGTCAAAGGTGTACAGAGGTGGAAGAAAGGTGACTTCAACAGGAACAGAAGGTCTGAACCCAGGCTGCACATTACAATCACCCACAGAAACTTCCTGAGCCCCAAATCTCTGGGGGGGGGGTGGGCCTCAGACACTGGTTTCTACCTGAAAGTGCCTTGGAAGCTTCTGTTGTGAAGCCAAAATGAAGAACGGCTACACTAGGAATGAAGAACGGCTACACTAGGCTTACCAGAGACTGCTTCACAGAGGGCCTGGGGCTAGAAGTGGGCTGGGGAATGATAGATAGGGCTTCAGAGCCAGATGTGTTGGGTGATATTCCAAGCAGACAGAGGCACTGTGTGAGGAGAGAAAGGCCTATCACTGCAGGCAGTGCCAGTTCCCCTGAATGGCTCAAGGCAAAGGAAGATGGGTACCTTTGTTGGAGCATGTAATGAGCTCATTGCTGCCTTGCTTGTTACAGAAGAACCATGGTTACTTCTCTGGGGATTCTTGTTACCTCATGTCTTCCACCTGGGAAGATAGAAAGGCCAGCTGCATGGGGAATGGACACAAGGGTGATGAAGGCAGGCAGCAATGCAGATTTTGTGAAACTCTCTTGAGAACCCACTTTGGGCCACATATTTGGCTTACAATCTCTTTGGACCCCTACCAAGAGCTTCTGGTCCTAAGGAGAGTGCTGCCTCCCTCCCTGGACAGAATAAGAGGCTGTGAATGTGCACCCCAGTGGCCTAGGCCTGCAGAGCAAACCACAACAGTGTCAGACCCAGCCTCTGGGGCTCGAAAACAATGGCTATATAATGGCTATAGATTTGTGCCTCCCTCATCTTCACAAGGGCCACTGTTGTCTTCAGGTGTTTTTCTTGAATACTTTTCTGTGTGAAAGGATTTGAATGTGCAACCTCATGTATATCATTTATTATAAATGATGGCCATCTACTACTGTCCTGACATATCATGGACATAGAAGTATACAAACATGTGGACCTCTTATTTATTTAGTACCAGGGATTGAACCCAGGGGTGCTTACCCTATGAGCCACATCCGCAGCCCTTTTTATTTTTTGAGACAGGTGTCACTAAGTTGCTTAGGGCCTCACTAAGTTGCTGAAGCTGGCTTCAAACTTTCGATCCTTCTGCCTCAGCCTCCTAGGCCACTGTGTTCAGCCAAAAATGTGGACCTATTAAAGGATTGAGAGCTGAAGTCAACATGATTAAACTTTCTCCAACATATTAAACATGCTCTTAAACATGAAAGCCATGTGATCAAGTCCACATTCGTAAATGCTTGGTTAAAACTAAGTCCTAACATTTGAAGGCCTGGTTCTAAGTTCTGGTTTGATTCAGGTTCCAGTTCTAATGGCATTTACAGATAAACATGGTACATAGACTGTGCTTCTGTGCCAGAGTACTTGTTTTTATTTTTATTTTTTAGTTGTAGATGGACACAATGCGTTTTTTAAAATGTATTTTTAGTTGTAGTTGGACATAATAAGTTTATTTTATTTATTTATTTTTCTATGTGGTGCTGAGAATCAAACCCAGTGCCTCACACATGCTAGGCAAGCTACAGCCCCAGCCCAGAGTACTTGTTTTTCAGTTCCATTATCCAATCATGCAAAGACCCTTGATGAATTTAGGCTGGTGTTTGTTCAGGGGCTGTCAGGGAACGTGGAGATTCTGGTTTCTGAGGTTTCCTCTTGTGTTTATGTAGATGGTATTCTTCTAGAATCCTTGGCACATAAACACATAATTATTTTAACATCTTATATTAGTTTACTAGTCAGCTCTGCATTACTATAACAAATATCTGAGATAAAACAATTTATAAGGAGGAAAGGCTTATCTTTTTAGAGTATTTTCTTTCCTTTTTATATGTACATTTATTTTATTTATTTTTTTACGTGGTGCTGAGGATCAAATCCAGGGCCTTACACATGTGAGGTGAGTGCTCTACCGCTGAGCCACAACCCCAGCCCCCCACCACCCCCCAAGGAAAGGCTTATTTAGACTAACAGTTGTAGATCTTTCATACTCAAATAATTGGTCCCATTGCTTTGGGGCCCTTGTGTATAAGGAAGACATGATAGAAAAGCTGTTCGTCTCATGGCCAGGAAGCAAAAGAGAGTAAGGCTGGGGTCCCACTGTCTCCTTCAAGGCACACCCCAGTGGCCTAAAAACCTCTTAAAGTTCCACTTCCCAATAATACTAACCTGGGGACTTAGTCTTAACACATAGGCCTCTGAGGCCACTCATGATCCAGATCACAGGATGTTTTACAGACATCCGTGTTCATAAATACTCTGTTCTTGGCACAGATTATGTTGAAAAGCCATAACTCTGACAGATGGTCACCTTTTCCTTGAAGAAGCAGATTTGAATGTGTTTGTTTAAAAGAAAAAAAGCTAAATGACACACTGCTACAGCCATTTGTTACTTTTTAAAAAGTTTCCAGATTTCACAAAGAAATATCCTTACCTCTTTTAATTCTTTGGCTCTTTGAAGAATTAAGTTACGTGCTGGCCAGTGAACCACTTTGTCACAAGAGACATTCATGGTTACATCCCAGATCACTAGAGTATGGTAAAGCTCTGACTATTTAAGTGCCTTGGTTTGTTTTTGTTTTGTTTGTTTTAATTAACCACAACCATGATATCTTGAAGCATGTGAACTGCAACATCCTGAGATGCTAAAGTAAACTTGTGGGTGAGGGCCCATGTCACCCCATGCGTCACAGGCTCCTCTTCCATCAGGATGAGCACAAGGGCCCATCCACATGTTAAATATGAGTAAAGCCAGTTTCTCCTCATTTTGAAAAGAAAAATACAAATAGCATTTAAAAATTTTTTTGTTGTAGATGGACACATGCCTTTATTATTTTTATTTATTTATTTAGTTAGCTGTTGATGGACCTTTTTTTATTTTATTTATTTATATGTGATGTTGAGAATCGAACCCAGTACTTCTAGCATGCTAGGCAAACATTCTACCACCGAGCTACAATCCCAGCCCCCACAATGCCTTTATTTTATTTATTTATTTTTATGTGGTGCTGAGGATCGAACCCAGTACCTCACATGTGCTAAGCTAATGCTCTGCCACTCAGCCCCAGCCCCAGCCCACAAGTAGCGTTTTGAGCATTCCTTCATTATCATGTATTGTCTTACTTTCCCCCTCTGGAGACCACTGGTAGGATTCACAGGTGGGACCATGCCCCCCAAATGTGCTTGCAGCATTCCCCTCTTTATTTAAAGAATATTTATTGGTGTTTGAGCATTTCATCTGCAGATTCCATTGAATTAGAAAAATTCAAATATGTGTACTCTCTTCCCTCCCCCCCCCCCCGGGAAATGATTGTGTACTAGGCAAAAGACTGGACAAAATCATATATCTTCCTGCCACGTCACATCATGTGGGAACCACCCCTACCTCCTTTGGGGGCAGTACCCGAAGCCTTGGTGATGTGAAGCTGGATCTGCTTCCCCTTTTGGCTCATTCCCTGCAACTCCCACCCCCATGTCTATGTTCAGTTTTCACAGCAACCCGCTCTGACTTCTCCATAATCCTGGAGTCCCCCCACCTCCACCCTACCTGATGAGTAACTCAAGACTGGTCTCTCTGCCCTCTCTGTCTTATTATCACACAGAGAAGTCATTGTTTTCTCCAGAATCTGTGGTACTGTTCTAGCTTCATTTATAGCAGTTATAAGACAGAAGCATTTATGGATTGTGAGTTCCTTGGATTGAGAACACTCATTTTCACTAGCAAATTCTTAGCCCTTGTACAAGTGCCCATCACAGAGTAAGCCCCTGGCAGATGTTCATGGATGAATAAATGCTGTTTGTCCTGTGTATCCTGAAGGCCACAAGTTCCACTAGCAGACTTTCATGAAGTACCTATTATGCTTTCTTCAATGTACATGCCAACAGACCTTTGATCCTGGCTGACTCACTATTGCAGATTCCTATATTGACAGTGAAATGCTTTCCTAGAAGCATTTTAAGCAGGACAAGGTAGGACTTCTCCTTGGAGGAAGAACACTGTGTGTGGCCAGTGTCACCCACCAGAGCACCCCTGTGTGGTATATGTATGGTAAGTAAGCAGAGCCATAGTAGTCAGCTCTCTTTTGGAGCTGTGGGAGGTCTGCATGTGGCTTTATGGAGGCCCTCTCCTTTCCTTGAAGCCTGTGCAGACAGACTGCCACAGAGAGAGATGCACCAGAGCTGGAGATATAGAGGAACATAGGGCATGGCGGATCCCTGCCTTGCTCTGGGGCCCCATCCATGCACCGGAATGGACCCTCTCCCCACCAGCTCCTCTAGAAGCACTGACACATTCTGCTCCATACATGCAGATTAAAAACATCTTTTAAATGGTCACTTAGAAATTGGATGGCAGTACTGGAGTTAGCCTAGTGGTAGAGCACTTACCTGGCATGTATAGGCCTTGGGTTTGATTCCCAGCACACACAAAAATAAAAGAAGCAGCAGCAGAAGAAGACAAAAATTGGATGACAACTTCAAGCCCATAATGAGGGGTGGGGGGAAGCAAAAGAAGAAGTGAAAGTGCTTGGGATTCCTCCAGCTTACTGGCAAACAGAGGCACCCACTGGTGCTCATGCCCGGCATGGCCAGAAGCTCTTAAACAACAGTTATGAGAATGACCATTTTGAGAGGAATCCTACCTGCCACCAAGAGTTCTCAGAAATTAGCAGTCCACGATATGCACTCACTCCATACCCATTCAGTTACTGACCTAAAAAACAAACACTGAAATACTCAATGACTTGTGTAATGTTTAATGTGTTAACAGTAGGCAAATAAGCTTTTTAGTGGGGCAGGGCGGGGTATGCCTTGCCCTTCCTGGCCCAGGAGGATCAAAGTGAGCCCTCTTCAGAGAGGAGTTCTACCTCAGGTGGATGAGGTAGTTGCTTTGCCAGTGGCCAGCCCTATATCTGCCTTGGCCCAGCTTTTGGGGCTTTGTGGGCCCTGGTCTTGGCGGTCACCACCTCTGGGACTCTGTGCTGCCATGGGGTTGAGTGCTATAGGGAGCACTTCCTATAGCACTTCCTTCCCCTGTGTGCATCAGCTTTCGTAACCACACAGCTCTCCAGATTTTGCAATTCCGGGATCTCTTCCTCTACATTCCTTTGCTCAGCTGGAACAGCTGCAGACCTGACACTGAGACTGCACATAAGGCCTGGCACAGACAAAGAGCAACAAGCAGGGTGCTGGGATGCTGGAGCAAATTGTGGGGACTGAAGGGATAATTTTGCCCTCTTGTTCTCAAGGTGACATTCTGGAAGTGATATAGTGTTAGAAGGGTGCTCACTGCCTTAGGATTCAGGGAATGGAGGAGTGTAGTGGCTAAGAGCACAGGTGTGGGGGTTAAAACAGGCCAAGGAGCACAGCCTGTCCCAGCGGCCTCCTGGCACCGTGATCTTGAGCTGAGTACTTCCTCCTGGCTTAGTCATCTATCAAGGGTGGTACCAGGGGCCAAAGCTGCATAAGGATGCCATCAGAACATAGTGGGTAAAAGTATAGAAAACAGAAACTTATGTCCTCAAGCACCAGAGAGAGCCAAGGCCCCCTCCCTTCCAAGGCCTGTGTGTTCCAAATCCCTGGGTCTTTGCTATCAGAGCTGTTCTGTTTGAAGTAACACACTGGCAATCCATTCTGCTCACTTACTCTAACATGGTAAGAGGTGTTTTATGATTATTATCCAAATTTTGCTCAACTACCCTCCATCTGCCCAAAGGTGCCAGAGAGTCATGCCCGTTAGTCCTGGGTCCCTCCTGATGTCCTGCAAGGCCTCAGCTCTCCCACACTCCAGGGCCGCCCCACTGCACCCCAGAGGCTTGCTGGCCCCGCCCCGGAGCCCTCTGTGCAGCACTGCCCCTGCCTAGCCAGTTCTCCTGCAGCCCTGAGGAAGACCTGCGGCCAGCCTCCAGAAGACTCAGGTCAGTTTCTGGTGCTGCCTCCGTAGACTTGAGTAGGAGGGTGGGTGGTGAGTCCCTTGCTGCCCTGGGCCTGGAGGGGAACAGTAAGCATGGGGATGTTTCCTTTCTTGGCCAGACTTTTCCAGAAAAGGAAGCAATCTACTTCTCTGTCCAGAAGTCTTCTTTAACTTTGACCTTTTTATATTCCTGTCCTGATAGAGGAAGAATTTTCACCTCAGCCAGACCAGCTGCCCATCTAGATGGGCCTTGACTGGAATGCAGTGTCCCCTCGTCACTTCTGGAAGCCTTTCATAAATCACAGGCTTCAGTGTGTGCCCTTGTATCACTGAAACTTTATTAATGGTCTGATTTTAAGACAGTTCCTCCACGTCTTGATTGTATGTGTGTGTGTGTGGTGTGTGTGTGTGTGTGTGTATATATATATATATATATATATATATATATATATATATATATATATTTTTTTTTTTTTTTTTTTTTTGGTGCTGAGAATTGGACCCAGGGCCTGGCACATGCTAGGCAAGTTTTCTACCACTGAGCTACAACTCCAACCCTTACTACTTTTTTTTAAAAGAGTTTGGGTAATTTGTTAAGTTGCCACTTAGTAGCACTTCATACTATTTTAGCTATTGTAGCATTCTCCACGTAAAACCCCGGTAGTTAATTAAAAGTCATATTTTAGATTAATTTGTAAATAACTTCTTGTCTACCCTTGAGAGCATAAACTCTGAATAGTATTAGACACCAACAACCATATCTTCCTTAAAAAGGCAAAATTTTTAGTGTGAAAAAGGAGCCTTAATGGAAATGATTTCCAACTGAATGAAGCCCAGAGTAAAACAGGTCATTTTAAGAAGCAAATAACACCTCACCTTGTGCACTGGAGTCTTCTGGAGACCATGTTGGTAATGGTGTTAGCTGGTGTTCACTAATGACTGGTTTACTAATTGTCTTTGTACACTACTATCTTAACACAACTGAAGGATGGCATTTGGTTAGTGTTAGCCAAGAATATGGTGCTAATTTGCTGAACTTGAACCCCTCATCCACTAAGAGAGTCACTGGAGGCTTTTCTCCACTAGGAAGTGCTCCTCTCTTTTTGCCTGCAGCTCTCAGTGCTGGAGGGGGACACCTCCCCATCCTGCCTGGCTGGGTCTGCACACCTCAGTGCCCTCAGCTTTAGGATAGAAGTTCTGACAAGGGTGTCATGCCGCTACCTGGGCTAAGTCAGACCACCTGCTTCACCAACAGGTTCACGTCTAATGGACTTTGGGCTTAGCCTCTGTTTCTTGTATTTGAAATTCAGTGAAATTAATTGACCTAAACTGAGGGGTGTCTGTAAATCTCTGCTCTTGTTTCTGCTCACTGGTGAAGCTTTGTTTTGGTTGTGGTACCAGATGGAGTCCAGGGCCTCATGCATGCTGAGCAGGAGCTCTAACACTGAGCTGTACCCTAGCTTTCACTTGTGTTTGATAATCTCTGGGTGGACTTTTTCCACAGTTATATGTGCTGGTTTTGAACACTGTGTTCCTATGTAACATGGGATGGATTTCCTTGTGTGCATTTTTTTTTCACAAGTGGTACAGACAAAATGGATGGTCTTGTGTCATGAGGCTCAGATTCTAATACTTACAAAAAACCTGTTGGATTCAAGACAAGAGAGGGCGATGGAACATTAATGCTCATGTTCCATCACCCCTTATATGAGACATATGTAAAAACTTAAACTGAGCAATTTTTAGGTGTCCTATACAGTTTTATAGGTTTTCACAGGTGTCCTAGACAGAGGGTGGGACATGATGGGTCAGTCACAAGACCACCTGAGTAGTGTTGATAAAAAAAAAAATGGCTAGCACGCACGGTGGCAGTGAACACAGAGCATGTGCTGTTAGGGAACGGGCTGGTCTCAGGAGAGCACAGGCTCTTAGATACACACACAGCAGTGGCGGGGTGTCAAGGTGGCTAGGCCTTGCACCTCTGTCTGTGGGTGTGTTTGGAGTTAAAAGCAGCACAAAAGAAGGTAGGAGATATGGAGGTGGAGGGTTTGTGGGTCTCCCCAGACACCCATGATTTGTATTTCCATTGTGCACCAAGCATTTCGTCTTTGGTTGGTGGCTAGTGCTGGGCGTCCCTGTGGCAAGAGGATGGCGGTGCTGCAGCAGCTGGCCCTCCTGCTGTGGAAGAACTACACCTTGCAGGTGGGTCCAGACCTGGAGGAAGAGTGGCCCCAACATTCAGCTGATGCAGGGGTCCGAGGGTGCCCTCCAGGGAGGGGCACATGTCATCAACACAGTGGTCCTTTCTCTTCTAGAAGCGGAAGGTTCTAGTGACAATCCTGGAACTCTTTCTGCCCTTACTGTTTTCTGGGATCCTGATTTGGCTTCGTTTGAAGATCCAGTCAGAAAATGTGCCCAATGCTACGGTCTACCCTGGTCAGTCCATCCAGGAGCTGCCCCTGTTTTTCACCTTCCCTCCGCCAGGGGACACCTGGGAGCTCGCCTACATCCCTTCCCACTCTGAGGCTGCCAAGACCATCACTGAGACTGTGAGAAAGTCCCTAGTGATCAACATGAGAGGTGAGACCACGGGAGTCACCAGGAATTCCTGCAGTGTGTCACCTCAAGCCATGGATTCAGCCCCAGCACCTGGGAGAGAGCCCTGTTTGGAGCCCCAGCCTGAGTAGCTCAGCATCTCCTCTCATTGGCTGTGTCACCCGTTGAACTCTTGGCTCCCCTGCACCCATTTCTCATTATACAGCAGGGCTCAGAACCCAGAGCCTTGCAGCCACACCTGGTGTAGTAGCAGGGGCTTGGGTGGATTCAGCCCAGCAAAGCCCTCTTGACAGAGGGAAGAGTGCAGTTTGAGTCTGTGCACAACAAACCTTTTCTGGCATGTGGTTTTGGGGGACAGCTGCAAAGGTCACTGGAGAGCCCATTGAGGGAAACACCAGGAAACGGTGCTGGCACCTTTTTTGAGGTATTTCCCTTGGGAGTGGGACTGTTGTCCTTCCCCTGCTCTTGCTGGCATGTGCTCCTACTGGCATGTGGCCCGGTGAGCTCAGCTAGGGGCTGCTCCTTGGCTCCCACCAAATGACTACAGGAAGGTGCTTCTGTCGAGTGTTGGGATGATGGAGAGATCATTTCAGAAACAGAAAGTTCCACTAAAATTGCTAGGGCCACGGTGGTTATGAGAGAAAGAAGCTGCCCCTCACTATAGACCCAGCCCAGGGTTGTGACAGTTTTTTGAGACTTGGCTTTGCTGCCACCTCAGTGACCAGTCCTGCCTCAAAACCATGGCAGGAGAGCCTACCTCCCAGGGCCCAGTGACTAAAGGTTCTGCCCATCTACGGTGGCCTGTCTCTGTGCCAAGACAAAGCTACCTGAGTCTCAAGGAAGGTTTGTAGAGCCCTAGAGTTTTGTCAGTTTGCCATCTCTTATCTGCAAAAAATGGCCTGACACTCCTGGGTTTCTGGGATAGAGGGGACGATTGGGCAACCAGGGGCTCCTTGCTCTGTCCACAGTGCGTGGCTTTCCCTCTGAGAAGGACTTCGAGGACTACGTTCGGTTCGACAACCACTCCTCCAATGTGCTGGCTGCCGTGGTGTTCCAGCTGGCCTCCAACCACAGCAAGGAGCCCCTGCCGCTGGCGGTGAGGCCCCAGGCGCCGGTTCTTCCTCACCACTACTCCACCTAGAATGGCCTGCTTATCTTCCTGGGAGTAAACATGAGACTCTGAGTCAAGTGCCACCACCCAGTCCCCACTGACTTTTAATCCTATCACCACAGAACCGTTTAGAAAGTCTACCCACCCATTGGCCATTGCTTCAGGCCCCTCTCGTTCTCCCATTTTATAAAATGCATTACTGGTCTCCAGGGCTGTTGGATAGAGGCATTCAGGGTAGGTGGGAAAGTAGCAGCTGTTAAGTATTATTTGGGGGAAAAAAGGAAGCTGTTTGCCTTCCTTAAGTCATTAAGACTGGGAAGCTTCTTGCACAATGTTGGTGGCCCTCCAATGATCCCACATTGGTGGCCATCAATGACATGTCTGTCCAACATGGCAGTCATGTTGCTAGCAGGAAAGAGAGGAGTGACTATGAACACTCTGGAGATGCCCTGCAGGGTTCCTTGCCCCTGCTGGGTTGGACTGCTCTCTCCTTCAAGCCTTTGACATCCTAGCCACTGGGGCATTTTCACGGCAGGGCATGGTGAGTTCTTGGTGGCGCCAGCCCTGGTGATAAGAGGCTCAGGAACTCACCCTCATTGGCCTAAAGTATCTGTTCCTATCTCTGCAGAACGGTTGGTGTTCTCTTTGTTTCTGCAGGTGAAATATCACCTACGCTTCAGCTACACACGAAGGAATTACATGTGGACCCAAACTGGCAACTTCTTCCTGAAAGAGACAGAGGGCTGGCACACCACTTCCCTTTTTCCACTTTTCCCAAACCCAGGACCAAGGGAACCTGCATTCCCTGATGGTGGGGAACCTGGTGAGAAGCACTTTTAGGGGCCACATTACCAGCCCTGAGCTGCTAACTGTAATGACAATTACATGGGGGTAAACCTACCTCTTATCTCTCTGCAGAAATACTTCTAAGGAATGTTAATCTTCTTGTTTGTAAGAGGAGAAAATAAATACCCAGTAAAACTGGCTTCTGAAAGGCTGAAATAAGCTGTGGAAAGAGCCAGGGCTCTCTCCCATATCCCAAAAGACCTGTGCCCTTGAATGAAGCATTTATGTCTCAGTTTTTAAGAAACTGCAGTATGAATTGGCTCTGTAAGGCTTGGTTTTACAGGTCCCTTCCCTTCCTGGCCTTCTCTGCAGTCTGTAGGCTTTTGGAGGTCTCCAGACCATGGCTTCATTGAATCTGTGACTTGTATAAAAGCTGGATCCAAGCTGCTCCGACTCCCGCCCAGTGCATGTTGTGGTCTGTACCATGTGGCTTTGGCCGGCAGCTGAGAATGTTTGCCTCCACTGGAACCAAGGAGTGGCTGAGACCCAGGACCCAGGGTTAGATGTAGCCCTCAGGCCAAGACTGACTAAATGTTCTGGGTGGAGATCCAAGGGTTCTGAAGAACACAGTCATCCACAGCACCAGGCAGCCAGGATCTTCCCATGTGCAGCAGCATTTAGAGACCCCTGTTGCTGGTGTCAGGGCCCATCCAGAGGTTAATGCCCAGGGCAAGATTTTAAATCCAGAAGAGAAACTTAGATGGGCAAGGCAAGGTGTAGAGTGTGAGGGGCCCCAGAATGGGACCCTAGCCATGTTACCAAACCTGAGGCTCAGGAGAGACTCACTCTCAGCACTAGTAATGCTGGCTGCTGAGTCCCAGATGCTGGGTTGGAATGCCTTAATCTCTTCCTTCTTGTCAGGGATAAATTCCAAGCCTGGAAGCAATAGAAAAGTATATCTGAGGCAAGGACGGACAGATTGCAGTCTGTACAAACTCAAAGTTTACCAACAAAGAAAAAGTCCTAATACTGATTCTAAAAGCAAATAGGAGACTGGGGAAAACCTCTCTGGCAGATGACAAAGGTCAGATGTCCTCTTTTAGAAAAGGACTCATACAGATTATTTAGAATAACACAAAAGCCCCAAGAGATGGTTGGCAAGGGTGTGACTGTGGTATGTGGCAGGTCAATTCTAGCTGTTTCCACCCCAGATAGATGTCCATGCCTCAGACCCACTAATACCCCTGATGAGAATTCAGCTCTCAGAATAATCTGAAAGGAGAAAAAATACACACACCCCAAGATGTTCACCATATCTTTGTCTAAGGTCATAAACATTTCCACAACAGGAAAATGAATGGTCATACAGGAGATGGCTTCATGCCTCAGAATATTGAGCTTATAGGTCATACAGGTTATGGCAATGAGAACATAGCTGTTTGTTGCCATCTCCCAGGAGAACAGCACGTGAGCAAGTAGCAGACAGGGATTTGTGGGGGAGATGGTGAGATGTCATGAAAAACACAACTGAAGCCAAAGTGCCCAAGGCCCCACGCTCAGCTCTACCTGTCCCCAGTGGTGTGACTCCGAGGGCTTCAGTGTTTCCATCTTTCTAATGGGGATATCACCACTGCCCTGAAGTTTTTTTGTGAACATGAGAATTAAACCCCGACCCAGTACTATCCTTGGCACACCTTCAGTGACTAATTGAATGTGTACTACTAGTGCACTGTAAAATCTGGGAGAGACAGAAGGACATGTCCACTTGGTAACCCTGAGTTGGGGGCGCAGTGGCATGTTGCTTTTGCTTTTTTTATGTGGTACTGGGGATAGAACCACCCTTCCAAAGCCACACACTCGGCCCTTTTTATTTTATTTTGAGACAGAGCCTCGCTAAGTTGCTGAGGCTGGCCTCGAGCTTAGAATCCTCTAGTCTCAGCCTTCCAAGTCACCAAACCCCTCTCTTCTGATTCTACCTCTGCAATGAAAGGTCTCAGCCACTTGCCACCTAGAGTCATGGTTGGGTGCCAGGGCTGTCAGCTTCTTTCTCTTGGCTGACAGGCTGGCTGCTGGGGTGACATTCAGAACCAGTCCTCTCACCAGATGAGGGAAACACTTTCCTGATCTTCAGACTTTCTTGTTGTCCCTATCTCCCCTAGCCTAATTCTTGGTATGTTCTTTCCTAGCGTATGTTTTACCTAACTTTTGTTTAGAATCGCATCAGACCCTATTGGGGTATTCAGGCTCTCCAGGCAAGTTCATATCCAGGGTGATTTAAAAATGTGATCATATTTGTAATCTTTAAGTGTGTCACATTAATTAAGATGTGGAAGTGACAGTGACCTTGCTTCTCTCCGCTGCTATCAGCATGGGCTCATTCTCTGCCTTCTTTCATGGGGCCACTGTACAGTGCCAGGCGCCACCAGGGCCCCAAGCAAGAGGTTGTTAAGTTGCTCTGTTGCCTCCTGCACCCCTTCTTCTGGAGGCACCAGGGCTAACCCTGGGGCTAACCCTTCTGAGCTCACAGCTCCCGAGCAGGCAGCACCTGTGACATGTTGTCTTTGGCTTCTGTGCTCAGGATACATCCGCGAAGGCTTCTTGGCAGTGCAGCACGCCGTGGACAAGGCCATCATGTACTACCACGCCAATGCCTCTGCGCATCAGCTGTTCCAGAAACTCACTGTGGTCGCCAAGAGATTCCCGTTTCCACCATTCATCTCAGACCCCTTCCTTGTTGCCATCCAGTACCAGCTGCCCCTGCTGCTCATGTTGAGCTTCACCTACACCTCCCTCTCCATCATCCGGGCTGTAGTGCAGGAGAAAGAGAGAAGACTAAAGGTAACTCTGTGCATGGCTTTGTAACATCCTTCCACATTGATCCTGGGGGCCGGGCCACCATGTGGTATGTCCAGGGCTCCTTCAAAAGAACTGGCCTTATTTTGAGGCTACCCTGCTCTTTGCCAGGGCTCCTTCCCATGGCTGGAAACACAAGAGTCCGGGCAGAGGGTGGATGCCCTCTGTGGCTCCAGCCTGTCTTGGCTTCTTTAAAATCAAGCTGGTATGCCTGGATTCTTAAAACCCTCTGAAAAGGGGGCACGGTGGTGAAGGCCAATAATCCCAGCAACTCAGGAAACTGAGGCTGGATGATCACAAGTTCAGGCTAGCCTCAGCAACTTAGTGAGACCCTGTCTCACAATAAGAAATGAAAAGTGCTGGGATGTAGTTCAGTGGTAGAGCACTTGCCTAGATGTGCAAGGACCCGTGTGTAAACCCCAGTACTGGAAAGAAAGAAAACTCCTATGAAGCATGGTAGTTTACATGCAGAACACCACTCATGAAGGTGGTCCTGGAGCTGCATTGTCCAGGTCTGGAGCCTCAAGCCCCAGAGGACTTCAAACACTCATAGTGCTCCTGGTCACAACTGAGATGCGCCAGAAGTATAAAGGGCCACCAGATTTGAAGACAGCACAGAAAGGATTATAAGCTGTCTCACTAGTAATTTTTATATTGCTTGTGTTTCAAAGACAATACTTTGAATATATTGGATTAAGTAGAACACAATTGAAATTAACATTACTCATCTCTCTTGATGTTTTTAATGTAGCTACTATAAAATTTTCATTCTGTGCTGGATGGTGCAGCTCTAGGGATTGAATCAACAGGGAGAGAAAATGCTTAAATATAGAGCCAAACAGGAAGATGATCAGCATTGCATGTAGATCACAGACAGGCACAGTCACTGGTAGTTAGTCACAATAATGGAAGTGTCACTGTGATGTCACAACCTGACTTGATGAGGAAGAGCCGCAGGAACAGTCACTTCTAGAGTCATACACTGACACTGCCATCACCCAGGACTTTCTGCATGCAGTTCCTCCCCTAGGAGTGTCCTTAGGGCTGGTGGAAGACACTTAGAATGTTCTCAAGGGTTCCAAGCCTGTGGTTGTTGGAGGTTTTAAACTGCCACAGATGAGAGGCTGGGAAACCCCCGAGGGGGGCAGTGACCTGCTTGGGTGCCTTAAATAACTTTAATAAAAACAGTGGAGGTAGCTGGAAGTGAACTACAAAATGATTCAGAGAGAATGAACATACACACACATTTGTAGATAAAACAAATAAGAAAAGTGTTGCCTGATTATTGAGTCAAGGGCATTGATTTTTCTGAAGGTTTAAAATTGTGCATAAGAAAAGGCTGGAGGGCTGGGGCTGTGGCTCAGTGTACAGCACTTGCCTGGCATGTGTGAGGCAATGGGTTCGATTCTTAGCACCACATATAAAAATGAATAAAATAAAGTCCATTGGCAACTAATAAATAAATAAATAAATAAATATAAATAATTTTATGAAAAAGGGGTTGGAAAATCAGCAGCCTGGCCTCATGCCTGGCATGTAAGTCACTTAATCAGTCCTGGCCCCACCGTCCCATCCAGTGCTATGAAGTGGAGCCATCCACCATGATGGACATGTCCTTTATCTGCTGACCACTACATTTGCCATGAAATACTTGAAATAAACTCAATTTTTAACTACTCAATTTTAGATGACTTTAGTTGAAAGAGCCACACGTGGCCCCAGCACACTCTGGATGACCAGAATTCCTGGGCAGTCTGGCCTGTGGAGGATCTGGGCTTCCTCACAGCTCCTCTTGATAGCTGAAAGGCAGGTGAGGAAGGAAGGTATAGTCAGAGCCAATGCCGATCATGGTGCCATCTTCCCTTCTAAAAGGAGGGGCCCTTCCCCAGGGAAGTTCTTGTTCCCCACTTTCAGAGCTTCAGGAGGTCAGGGAATATGTACCTGCAGCTTCTAGCATGTGTGCAGAGCCAGTCTGATATGAGGTGATGTTTCACAGTCTAGGGTGCTAATGTCAGTGTGGTCAGTGTGGTCAGTAGCTTGTAAAGTCTTTCTGCCAACCTGGGGAGGGGTCTGACTGAGCTGATGGTGGACCCCAGTACCAGCTGCACACCAACAGCTTCTAGGGAACAGGTTCCATGCAAGAAAAGAAAGCATTGCAGGAGTTTGGATTGCTCCACAGGACATGGGGCACCCTGCAGGACACTTGAGGGTTACCAGCTTAGTCATCATGTGTTGGAGGCTCACATCAGGCCCCCACAGAGACACAGGTAGAGAAGGGGTGTTCCAATAAGATGGAGCTCAGTGGGCCCAGTCAGGAAGATAGGGACAGATCTCTACCATAAGGAAAAGCCAGGTTGTTGCCAAGCAGAGGACAGCGGGACAGGCTGTGACGTTGGGAGAAAGGGACAGTTGATCCCAGTCAAGGACCAGGAATGGCTGTCCAGATGCAGTAGCGTATAAGACTGGAGAAAAGCAGGAGGGGCAGGACTTGTATACCTCAGGGCTGAGAGCTGTTGAGTAAGGGGGGACATGACTGTCAGACTTGGGCCTTCTACTCTCCAGGCCAGGGTGTGCTGCATGGTTCCTGCCTCTGGTCCCCAGCACAGGTGTCCTGGTCCTCTCTCTTGGTGGGTGGACACTGCACTGTGCACAGACATGCCAGAGTTCAGATGGTGGGCAGTAGGTTGCAGGCCTAACCACCCTTCTCTCTGTAGGAGTACATGCGCATGATGGGGCTGAGCAGCTGGCTGCACTGGAGCGCTTGGTTCCTCATGTTCTTCCTCTTCCTCCTCATCGTGGTCTCCTTCATGACCCTGCTCTTCTGCATCAAGGTGAGACTGATTTGATGGGAACCCTGATGTGAAGAGGGTGTAAAGACCCCTGCTCTTGGGCTGGCATCTACTCTGGGAGGATAGTGTCTCTTAGCCACTGACCTCACCCTGTCCCCAGGGGCAGGGTGGCAGCAGGGCTTCCTGCTTGCTGAGGTGAGGGCTCCTCCTGTCCTCAGTAGTGTCTCTCTGGCTGGGACCTTTAGGCTTCTCCTAGTCTACCTCTGCCTTTCTTGACCAACCCACATCTGGCCCTGGCGGCCTGTCCTGCAGGTGAAGAAGGACGTGGCAGTGCTCTCAAGCAGTGACCCCTCCCTGGTGCTGGCCTTCCTGCTGTGTTTTGCCATCTCCTCCATCTCCTTCAGCTTCATGGTCAGCACCTTCTTCAGCAAAGGTGAGTCATTTTTCTCCCCCAAAGGCAGAGGACCATGGGGGTAATCCAACTCTTGGGAAACTGAGCAGATTTATGCAAAGTTAAGGGGTTAAAGGTATTGAAGCAGGATGACCCAGAGACTGAGCTGCCAAAAGCGGGGATACCTGAAAGGCTAGGCTGGACTTAATGGGTTAGATCACTGAGGGACAGACTTATAGGAACTCAACAAAGGCCCCACCACAGAGCTTCATGGGACTTCCCCCAGGAAGGAGCTGGAAAAAGGACAGGAGACAGAGCACCTGGTGTGGGCCAGGCAGAAGGGTGAGAGAGGCTTAGAGTAAAGAGGAATTGGCAGAAGGCAAGTGTGGATGCCAAGTTGGATGCTAATAGGAGCCAAAAGCGAGGGCTAATCTATTCACCCACCTTACGATTGCAGCTACATTTGAGGTTATTTCTGCTGTCTGAATTCTTCATGTTCTATTCATCGTTTCTCTTTGCCACCTTCTGTTGGACTGAGAATTCCCTCTAGTTCTTCCACCTCTGATGGTTTGAAAATGTCAATTGCATTTCTCTTCTTTGGGTGATTATCCTGAGTGTTGAACTTAAATACTTACCTTTGAAATTTCCAGAAAGTTAAGTCAGTGTGTCTAGACTCCTCCCAGGTTTGCCTCACCTGTGCCACACAGAGTGTCACTGACAGTCCCTGAGCCTTCTACTGTGCCATCTGCTTCATCGTCACCGTCTGCTTCATCATCTAAGAACATAAGCAGTTGGTAGCTAATCTGCATTCATGTGCACGTTTCGTGTGTGCACTACTTTTGTGTGTGTGTGCTCTGCTCCTTTCAAGTTGTTGTAGGTTGACTTTTGTGCCTGAGTTGTCCTCTCTGTGGGGATCAGTGAGTGGCTAATTGTTTCTGGATGACTGGAGGTGGTGTTCTTTCACCTCACTTCTCAATGATATTTTAGCTGCATATTGAATTCTCCATGGCCAGAGTTTCTCTTGCACTGTGACATTGCTTCATTACTACCGATACCCGTGGTGTTGGCAAATGTCCACCAGCAGTTGAGGTGTGGTTTCCCTTTACTTTCGAGTGTTTTCCATATGAGGACTTGTCTTTCCCAGTTAATATCTTGTCACATTGGCTTCGTCATCCCTGTCATTCTCTTCCTCTAGACCTTTCTCCAGGCTTCTCAAACTGTCTGTATGTCTCTGAAATCTGAGTTCCATCTGAATTCCTGAGCATTCGCTTCTGAGTGCCTAACACCCTCTGTGTGTGTCTACAGCGTCTCTCATCTGTTGAGACTTATTCCATGACTATATTTATCTTTTATGAACTATCTAGTTGATTCTTGTACATATCTACTTGTTCTTGCTTCTTTATACATTTTCTTGGGGAAAATTTCTTTTTTCAACGGAAACATTTGTTCATCTACTCCTGAAAGTCCATGGCATTCTCATTTTGAAGTTTCCCTGTTCTGCTCACACCATTTCCCATGGACAGTTTTGAGGATACTCATAATCCTCCAATTTAGATCTCCAGCTTAGGCTTCTCTCCTGAAATTCAGACTCAAACCCAGAAGCTTCCTTCCTATTGGTGCTCAATATGTGCATCTTGGCCTGAATGTGTTCAAAACTGAGTTCCTGCCCTTGTCCTCAGAAACTCCTCCCTCTTCTCTGTAAGTGTCAACTCATCCTTCTGGCTGCTCAGCCTGGAGCCTGGGCATCACCCTCGACTCCTCCATTCTCCTACGTCCTGCTCTTCATCTAGTCACCAGGGAATCCCACCCGCTCCCTCTTCTCGAGGTGTCTGAGCTCCAGTCACACCACAGCTTCCTCACTGCACACTGGGGCCCCAGCCCTGTCCTCCCTGACCTGTTTATGGTGGTAACAGCCTCAAAGTGGTCCTTCTGCTTCCACCCTAGACCTGTGTAGCCAAGTGGGTGATGCAAGTCAGAGCTTGTGTCACTTCTGCTCAAAATGTCCCCAAGACCATGTCAAGCAGAAGAGCTGAAGCCCCTGCCGTGGCTGGCTGGGTCCTGCCCGGGTGGCCACAAGCTGACTCTCTGCTGCTCCATTCCCATTCATACAGTCCCTGTCTCACTCCATTCCTGGGGCTTTTGGTTCTGCCTAGGAAAGGGACTCTCAAAAGGTGGTTGCCTAGGGATCCCCAAGGAGCCTGAATAGTGGTCAGTACTTATTTACACAGATGCCTTTTCCACTACCTTGTCCTTGGTTGAGATAGTGCAAAGGCAACATGGGTAAAACCACTGGGCCCCAGGCTTGAATCTCCACAGTGCCGCTAGACCATGCTGGTCATTCACACACTCTCAGCAGACAGACAAACAAGAATGCCAGTTTCACTCAAGAACCTCCTTGGTGGAACAGATAAAATTATTAAAATTATTAATTTTATAAAATTATTAATTTTATTTTACTCCTGAATATACTTTTTTAGTATTCTAATGACAGAACAAGATGTACACATAAAGTACTAGTACTGCATACTGAGTAGGATTAACTGCAGGAGCAACGTGTACAGCTGTTTGAGTTGTCAGCTGAACTAGCCACTTTTTCATTTTTGCTTGAAGGAGTGGCTGTCAGATTATAGCTATTCACATGTAGGTATTTGATAGGCATTTTTTTTCAAATCTGAGCCCATCTCTTTTAAGGAATGTTTTATTACAGATCTGATGTCTGATGTCAAGATTTCAAGCAAAATGTAGAATTTTGCAAAGTCAATTCTAACACCACAAGCTTGACAGTTTCCCAGTAATTCAAGAGTTTTTTAATGAGGTTGGTGATATTAATGAATGCGATCTGCTTCAAAATTATATAATAAAATGTGTCAGTATTTGGAAGATCTGCATAATCCAATGAGCAATATTTTACAAACTGATGCAATATTTTACAGACACGCATCATGTTACAAAATCATGCAGGAGTAAAAATCCATTCAAAGTGCAAGGAAAGCCAGTGCCCTTTGGTGCAAGACAGTACAGCATGTTTGTTTGTTAGTTTGAATGCACGTGTGGTGTGGACTCAAATAAGAATATCTACAAGTGTCTGTAACTAATATAACACCCCTTGCTCTTCCGGCTGCTCATCTGCACTTTGAAAAAAAAAAAAAAAACAATGGACACAGAGGCAACCAAGAGCATCCATCTGTGAAGTCAGATATTGCAGATGTTGCACAAATGTGAAACAATGCTACTCACCAATTGTGGGAAACATGGTTGTGTTTCATTAAAAACTTCAATATATCATGAGTTCATTATTGTCAAATTTTTAAAAATTATTTTTTAGTTGTAGTTGGACACAATACCTTTATTTTATTTATATTTATGTGGTGCTGAGGATCAAACCTAGGGCCTCACACATGCTAGGCGAGCACTCTACCACTGAGCCACAACCCCAGCCCCTATTGTCAAATTTTTAAAAGCTTTAAATGTTCTTATATTACTTTATCATAGACTAAATATAAATAACCTTTAAAAAGAAAAAAAGCCTTGGACTGGGGTTGTGGTTTAGTAGTAGAACACTCTCCTGGCACATGTAAGGCCCTGGGTTGGATCCTCAGCACCACATATAAATAAATAAATAAAATAAAGTCATTGTGTCCATCTACAACTAAAGAAAAATATTTAAAAAGAAAAGAAAAGAAAAAGCCTTTGGTGTCTTAAATAATTTTTAAGGAGGTGCTAAGTGCAGTGGCCACAGCTGTAATCTCAGCAGCTCAGAAGGCTGAGGCAGGAGGATCTTGAGATCAAGACTAGCCTTAGCAACTCGTGAGGTCCTGAGCACCGCAGGGAGATCTGGCCTCAATAAAAACCCAAAAAAACAAGGTCTGGGGATGTGGCTTAATGGAAAAGTGCCCCTGGGTTTAATCCCTAGTACCACAAATACTACTACTGCTACTCCTAATTTTTTTTAATATTTATTTTTCAGTTGTAGTTGGACATAATACCTTTATTTCATTTATTTTTATGTGGTACTGAGGATTGAACCCAGTGCCTCACATGTGTGAGGCAAGCGCTCTGCCACTGAGCCACAACCCCAGCCCTCATACTCTTAATTTTTAAGGATGTGAAGATATAAAGATCACAGAGCCTGAGTGCCACAGGGTAGAGCAGTACCATGCTGTCCCCCTGCACCCCTGCCACCTGGCCACTTGCCTGTGCTGTTCCTCGCTCACTTGCGTGTTCCTCTCGAAGCCTCCCTCTTCTAGCTGGAACCTTGCCACTCTTCCCAGCCATGTCCCTGTTGAGCACTCTGCGCTTCTCTTCCCATTCCACGTGCCCTAGAATCAAGGCTTGGGAGGGGTGGGAGTTCACTCCATTTTGTGTGCAGCCTTCTCCCTGGTACCTGGAAGAGCATGTGGCACCTACCAGGTGGCATCTGATAGATGAATGAATGAACAAATGGGAGAGATTGGTCAGACAGGGCAAGAAGGGTCTCAAGTGGGAATCCAAGTTCAGCACTAGTAATTAACACGATGTGGTATGTCCAGGAGGTGACTGGGTGGAAGGCCCGCAGGAGGGGGCTGGAGACCCCAGGCAGGGTACTGTCCCAGGGGAACGGAAGAGGCTGCGATCCCTGGCCTGCAGCCCCAGCACTGGGACTTGGTTAGGGCCTAGGCTGGCCATGAACCCTGCTGCAGGCACAGCACCCTGGCAGGTTTGTACGCCCTGTGCTCTCCTCTCCCCACAGCTAACATGGCAGCAGCCATTGGCGGTTTCCTCTACTTCTTCACCTACATCCCCTACTTCTTTGTGGCTCCTCGGTACAACTGGATGACATTGACCCAGAAGCTCTTTTCCTGTCTCCTGTCCAATGTTGCCATGGCAATGGGAGCCCAGCTCATAGGAAAATTCGAAGCCAAAGGTGAGTATCAACCTCATCACAAGCTGCTCTAGCTGCCCAGGAAGCATCTCTCCAGAAGTACCCCCAGCTGTTAGACTAACCCCAAGCAATAAGCAGGCAGAGCAGCACACCAGAGCTAGGACTTCATGGCAGGTGCCTAGCTTGTCTGTCCTTCCTGGGGCTTCTGCATGTTGTTCTGGCTCTGCTGGAAGGAAAGAAGCATCTTGTACCTTCTGTAGGCTGCTGTGGCTCATGTAAGATGGTCTCGGCCCTGTCCCGTTTAGATGTTCTCTTTTAGGCCAAATGTTCTCATTTCTTCCAGCCACACATCTTGGTCTATTTGTGCTTCTATCACAGAATTCATGAGACTAGGTAATTTGTAAAGAAAAGAAACTTCCCACTGTTCTGGAAGCTGGGAAGTTCAAGACCGAAGCACTGGCAGTTTTGGTGTCCACTGAGGATCTAGTCTCTGCTTCCGGGATGGCACTTTGAATGCTGTTCCTCATGAAGAGAGCAAAAGAGTGAGGCCACTCTTGAAGGCCCTTTTTAAGACAGCATTTGTCCATTCATGAGGGCCATCTGAGGACTATTTCTAACACATGAACTTTTGGAGACACATTCAATCCGTAGCCCCTTGCAATTCCTAGCTGTCATAGTTTCCAAAGCTCTGGAACATTTAGTGTTGATTCATCTTTAATTAGAATATTTTTCTTTGGTTGGCAATGTCTTCCAGCACTTCAGCTTTTAAATATATATGTTGATGTTTAATGGTGCTTAATGGTGCTGATAAAATGTAGACTTCATAAATGAGCAGACCCTTCTAGGGCTCAAATACTTTATATATATATATATATATATATATATATATATATATATATATATATATACATACATACATACATATATATACACACACACATATATATATGTATATATATATATATGTGTATGTATGTATTTTAGTTGTAGTTGGACACAATACTTTTATTTTATTTGTTTATTTTTATGTGGTGCTAAGGATCAAACCCAGGACCTCGCATGTGTTAGGCAAGCGCTTTACCACTGAGCCACAAGCCCAGCCCCTCAAATACTTTTTTTTAATATATATTTTTTTAGTTGTAGATGGATGCAATACCTTTTATTTTATTTGCTTATTTTTATGTGGTGCCAGAGATCAAACCCAGTGCCTCATGCATGCTAGGCAAGCACTCTATCACTGAGCCACAACCCCGGTCCCCTCAAATACTTTTTTTTTAATATTTATATTTTAGTTGTAGTTGGACACAATACCTTTATTTTATTTCTTTATTTTATGTGGTGCTGAGGATAGAACCTAGGGCCTTGCACATGCTAGGCAAGTGCTCTACCATGAGTCACAGCCCCAGCGCCCCCTAAAATACTTTTTAAGAGACCGTTTCTGGCAGGATTGGTGGTGCATGCGTATGATCCCAGTTACTGGGAAGACAGGAGGATTGTAAGTTTGAGGCCAGCCTGGGCAACTTAGTGAGAACCTGTGTAAAAATTAAAATTTTAAAAAGGCCAGAGATGTAGCTAAGTGCTGCCAAGCAAGGCCTTAGGTTCAATTCCTGCTACTGCAAAATAAACAACTAAGTAAATGGCCATTCTAAAGAGGAATCTAACTATATGGCACCTCTATAGTTCTATACTAAATATTTCTTTCTTTTTTTAAGAGAAAGAGAGAGAATTTTTTAATATTTATTTTTTAGTTTTCACTGGACAGAACATCTTTATTTTATTTTTATGTGGTGCTGAGGATCAAACCCAGCGCCCTGCGCATGCCAGGCGAGCGCGCTACCGCTTGAGCCACATCCCCAGCCCTATACTAAATATTTCTTAAAGCTGCTAAGTCTCCAGCTATTTGAAAGTGAGCATTCATCAGGGCTAGAGAGTAATCATATCAGTCTGGGGCCTGTGGGCCAAGAGGAGATGGCCAGAGACTCAGGTCCCCAGTATGTGTAGACTGTGATGTGGGCTAATTGTGAGCTCCACTAAATAGAGCTTCATATATGCCTGAGGCCTCTGCCTCTCAGGTTTTTTTTTTGTTTGTTTGTTTGTTTGTTTTTTTTTTTTGTGTGTGTGTGTGTGTGGTGTGTGTTTGGGTATTAGGAATTGAACCCAGGAGTGCTTAGTCACTGAGCCACATCCCTAGCCCTATTTTGTATTTTATTTAGAGACAAGGTCTCACTGAGTTGCTTAACACATTGATTTTGCTGAGGCTGTCTTTGAACTCATGATCCTCCTGCCTCAGCCTCCTGAGCTTCTGGGATTATAGGCATGAGCCACCACAGCCAGCCTCAGCCTTTTTAAAATTTCTTTCATTTTGATATAGGCTCTTGCTAAGTTGCTTATAGCCTTGCTGAGTTGCTGACTTTGAATTTGTGATCCTCCTGCCTCAGCCTCCCAAGCTGCTGGGATTATAGGCCTACAGCACCACACCCAGCAGGTCTCTGAGTTTCAAAACAGACTAAAATGCATCTTGGTTCACACTGATCTTCCCCAAATTGTGTGTGTGTGTGTGTGTGTGCACGCGCACGCACATGCATGTTTTTTTGGGGGGGCGGGGATACTAGGGATTGAACTCAGAGGCACTTGACCACTGAGCCACATCTCCAGCCCCTTTTTTATATTTTATTTAGAGACAGGGTCTCACTGAGTTGCTTAGGGCCTTGCTAAGTTGCTGAGGCTGGCTTTGAACTCACAATCCTTCTGCCTCAGCCTCTGGAGCCACTGGGATTACAGGCGTGCACCACTGCGCCAAGTCCGTACATGCATTTTTACACGTCACCAAGTTAAGCACAAGCCCATCTAGTTTGTTTATGAGCTTACTTCTGGTGCTGTAACTTGCTGCAGTTGCCTTAAAGATTTGAGGGAAGTTATCAGATTTGTTATGAAGCTGGGAAGGGAAGCATACACAATGAAGCCATCAGGGTCCCTGGAGTCCTGGGCTCTCCCAGCTTGCCCACTTTGGGGCCATTTTCCTGGTTTGTCCTCCAGGCATGGGCATCCAGTGGCGAGACCTCCTGAGTCCTGTCAATGTGGATGATGACTTCTGCTTTGGGCAAGTGCTGGGGATGCTGCTGCTGGACTCTGTGCTCTATGGCCTGGTGACCTGGTATGTGGAGGCTGTCTTCCCTGGCCAGTTCGGTGTGCCCCAGCCCTGGTACTTCTTTCTCATGGTGAGTACTGATGCCCCTGCCCTTTGAGTGGCTACCTCTGTTAGGGGGTGTAGATGTCACTTCCATGGAATAGAGAACCTGCCCTGTATATGGTGAGCTGTGGGTTGTGAGGGCCTTTGGGGTTGGTTCAGAGAGAGAAGAAGGCCCGCTCCCACCCAGGGTCAGAGCTGAGGGGACCAGTACAGCCCACCGGCCTCCACTCGCCTCCACTTGCTTCCTGGATCATAAAAAGATATTGTTTTAGGTTTTCTGCCTACAAAATATACAGCTTTTTGTACAAATGTTCAACTGAGGCATGTATAGCACTTCCCACTGTGACTCTCTAGCTGTGGCTCTTCAGGCTTGTCCTGTGCCCATATTGTCACATGGCACATGCAGAGGAACATGAGATGTAGCTACATTTGCTTCATGATCATATTTTTTTTTAAAGAGAGAGAGAATTTTAATATTTATTTTTTAGTTTTCGGCGGACACAACATCTTTGTTTGTATGTGGTGCTGAGGATCGAACCCGGGCCGCACGCATGCCAGGCGAGTGTGCTACCGCTTGAGCCACAACCCCAGCCCTCATGATCATATTTTAAAGTGCTTAAAACTTGCTTTTTTTTAACCTAACAGCACACCTTGGTATCTTCTTTTTTGATATTTTTTTTAGTTGTGTATGGACACAATATCTTTATTTTGTTTTTTATGTGGTGCCAGGATCAAACCCAGTGCCTCACACATGCTAGGCAAGCAATGTACTACTGAGCCACAACTTGGCCTCACATCTTGATATCTTAAACACATATATTTGTGTGTCTGCTTTGCTTATACACATAGCTTTAGAACTTTAGATTTTTTTTTTTTTGGTACCAGGGATTGAACCCAGAGATGCTTAACCACTGAGTCACATCCCCAGCCTGGTTTATATTTTATTTAGAGATAGGGTCTTGCTAAATTGCTGAGGCTAGTTTAGAACTTGCAATCCTCCTGCTTCAGCCTCCTGAGCCACTGGGATTACTGGCATGCGCCACTGAGTCTGGCAGCTTTACATCTTTATGTACACATATTTATAAGTTTTATTTATTTACGAATACTTGATGCTTGAGCATATACCTCTCTATGAGTTCACCTGTAGTGATCATACAGGACCCCAGTGTGTGAATCTACCAGCAGGCACTTAACCAGCTCCCAGGGATGGTTAGTTAGGGCACTTCTTTTTTCATTTTTTGGTTCAACATTTACCAAGCATCTACTCCTGTATCTCATCAGCTCTAAGGTAACAATGGGTGGGCAGAAGCAATGGTTACTTGTCTATTCCCATGGAAGAGAAATATTGCCCCTTGAACTCTGGCATTGTACCCTTAGATGCAGTTTGATTTCAGAGTCACACTAAGTATATGAAAAGCATGTCTTTTAGCACCAGTAGGTTGTGGCACTCCTGGGAATGCACTGGAAACAAAGCTGACAGCTGACAAGTCACCACCCCTAAGCACACCCTGCACACTGTCTTGCTGGCGTGAGGCTGCCCTAGAGCAGAGCACGCGAGGGCTATGGCTCTATGCCGAGCCCCTCCTCAGAGCTGAGTGAGGGGGAAGATGCTTCTGGGGCCCCTCTTGCTGTTGGTTGTGTGGTGTGAACTTGTGGGTAGCTAGGCTGGGAAGCAATCCCTGTGGGCTGGCTGGGCTGGAGCCTTCCACAGCCTCTCTTCATGTTGACCTCAGAGCAGGCAAGTTCCTTTTCCTTTCTCCCTTCTGAGTTGGCATTCACAATAAGCCTGTGAATTACCACTCTGTCCCCAAGCAGAGGCTCACAGCCTCGCCGGGGAACTCCAAGTCAGGAGCTGTCGCGCGCTGTGTTCCTTGGAAGAATAAGACTTAGGTCACATTGCTGTGTGTGTTTAGTGTGTTATGGAGATTGCTTTATTGGTCAGAAACAAAAGGAATGGACATGAACAACTCTGACACCGTCTGCCTCCATCCTAGCCCTCCTACTGGTGTGGGAACCCGAGGACAGTTGTTGGGAAAGAAGAAGAAGACAGTGACCCTGAGAAAGCTCTCAGAACCGAGTACTTTGAAGCTGAGCCCGAGGACTTGGTGGCAGGGATCAAGATCAAGCATCTGTCCAAGGTGCCACCTCCCTGTGTGGACAGAAGGGGAAGGCGGGGGCAGGCTGGACAGCAGCAGGGGAGGAGGGCAGGGGTCCTTCAGCTGTTCCTGATGCACTCTCCAGGTCACAGACCACCCTCCCTATTGGATTCAGTACCCAGCATGGGGTCAAACTCAGGGTGACTTCAGCAAACATATAGTCCTGGCTCTGCCTCTTGCCAGTACCCCAGAGTGTGCTCTGCTTTGCTGTCCAGGCTTCCAGGGCCTCTGGATCTCCTTACGGAGAAGAGACACGGAGGAGGACATGTGGGGGTGGGGCAGGGGACTTTTTTCCTTGGCACACTACAGTGTCGACCTTGGTGTCCTGGGACATGGGACTGCATTCCAGAGGGAGAGGGAGGCCCCAAGGACCACAGGAAGTCCAGAGCAGCCCTCTGCAAATCCCAGGTGTTCCAAGTGGGGAATAAGGACAAGACAGCTGTCAGGGACCTGAACCTGAACTTGTATGAGGGGCAGATCACCGTCCTGCTGGGCCACAACGGTGCAGGGAAGACCACCACCCTTGCCATGCTCACAGGTGAGGGGCAGCTGCATGCCACCTGCAACCAGCAGGCCCTCCCCATAGCACTGCTCCACACCAGCCCTCACCCCCTCATGCAGCCTTCAGTCCTTCCCCAGCCACAGGGAATCCCAATAGTCCTCAGCCCAGAGGGACGTGGGGGGAGCTGTCTAGTCACCCCTGACCTCCTCTCAGCCTGTCTGTGAATGCCCAAGCCCTGTGGGAACAGTGAGAACAAGGCTTCTCAAGTCACACAGGAGCAGGCACACCCCATATCATATTATCCCAAGCTCGTCCTGAAAGACCAGCCCTTTGTCCTCTCTAAGCACCCAGACGCCTGTCAGAGGCACAGGCAGTATCTGTGGGGCCTCGTGAGTGTGAAGGACTTGGCACTACCTGTACTTGTGCATGCAAGTGCATGTTTGTCATCCTTGAGTAGCTGCAGCACCCTGTGGCAGGGCCACGGCCCCATCCCTCCTCTGTCTCTTACCCAGACAGATTCAGCACAACACAGTGGGGGGCAGGCATTTCTTTCACAAGGGCAGGGTCCTTTGTAAAATGGAAGGAACCAGGTGACCAAGGTGGAGGGGGTCATCATGTCTCAGGCTGATGAGCAACATTTTCATGCGGAATTCGGGGGTCTTTGGTTGGCCCCAGGACTCTTTCCCCCTACTAGTGGACGTGCATATATTAGTGGGTATGAAATTTCCCAAGACATGGTTCAAATCCGGAAGAGTTTGGGCCTGTGCCCCCAGCACGACATTCTTTTTGACAACCTGACGGTGGTGGAACATCTCTACTTCTATGCGCAGGTGAGCTTATGGGTGACGGGGACATGAGGGTGCTAGGTGCTCTGCTGCTGATGTGTGGGTTCCAAGCTTGTCTGTGTGTCACTAGCCTCCTGGCAAGGCAAAGTCTGTTTCTAGGAGGTGCTCTGTAAAAACCAGAGTAAGGCAGTGGGCAAGCAGAGTGCTGCAACTGCAGGAGATGTATCTCTGGCCAGGAAGCTTTCCAGATGGGATTGGGTAACTTCTGCAGCACAGGTCTCATCTCTTGTCCCCTGCCATTTCAGTTGAAAGGCCTGTCTCAGCAGAAGTGCCCTGAGGAAGTCAAGCAGATGCTGCACATCCTCAATCTGGAGGACAAACACAACTCACGGTGCAAGTTCCTGAGTGGGGGCATGAAACGCAAGCTGTCCATCGGCATCGCCCTCATAGCAGGCTCCAAGGTACAGGGCATTGGGGCCCAGCTTCCACCAGCACAGTGGACAGACACAGGGCAGCAGGCCCAGAGGCCTCAGGCTCTGGAACTTGAACCAGCTCTGCAAATCCCTGGACTCCAGCTGTGGGATCCCACCACACAGGTCTCCCATTGTCACCAGGTTGTGCCTGTGCCCCCAGGTGCTGATGCTGGACGAGCCCACCTCAGGCATGGATGCCATCTCCAGGAGGGCCATCTGGGACCTTCTTCAGCAGCAGAAGAGTGACCGTACCATCCTCCTGACCACCCACTTCATGGACGAGGCTGACCTACTGGGGGACCGCATTGCCATCATGGCCAAGGGGGAGCTGCAGTGCTGTGGGTCATCACTGTTCCTCAAGCAGAAATATGGTGAGCAGTAGGTGGGGGTACCCAGTCTCAATCCCAGGATAGAGGTCAGCACCACTGTCTGCTGTGCCAAGAGGCACTACCCACTGTTAGCCTTTGGGAGGGGCCCTAAGACCAGCAGAGAGAGGCCTCCTCTCAACTTTGGTCACCCCAGTGGAGGGGCCTATGAGAATGAGGGAGGAGAGTGAGGCAGATTGCCTTGAGTGGTTGGGCTCCAGTTCATCTACAAGTAGGATGCCAAGGGGAAGTAGCATGTTGTCTGACATTACAGTTCCCAGAAAGGGCATGGCTTGTGGCACAGCCCAGACCAGTGGGTGAAGGTTTGGGTCAGGATCCAGGCCCCTTACTTTGCGGGGTGATTGTGGCCTCCCTTCTGGTTCAAGATGGCGCCATGTCCAGCCTCCCCCACACCAGGACACAAGACCACCCCTCCCTTCAATTTACAACTCACTTCTACTGGCCTACCCATGGCCAGCACACAGCCCTCTGTGGCTAATACAGGCTGGAAGGGAAGCTGGAGTGGACACCTTCATGCTGGGTGGCAGCATACCCAGCAAAAATACAGGAGTTTCCTTTTCAAGAAGTGGGGCCGGTCTTGGGGGACCAGGAGCCATTTCTGGTTTGATAGTTTCGCCTGCTACTTCCTGCCTGGTGCCTAGTCAGCTGAGCCATTGCTCTTCCTGGGCCCAGTGTCCTTATGTCTGAGGAGGGACAAGGAAGTCCCATTTTCTGCCAAGCAACACTGGGCAAGAGTTGAGTAGGGATCTGAATGTGGCAGTATAGCCTGCAGCCCCTGCTGCTGCTCCTGCCGAGTCTTCTGTGAGCTTTGCAGTAATGTTCTAAATAAATCCCACAGGGCAGATGCCCTCGACACCCAGGCTCTTGCTCAGGTGGGTCTCTGTCTTGTAGCTGTACCCTCAGAAAGGCTCTAGCTTCCAGCAGGTACTCCTGGCTGCATTCAACATCCCAGGTCCCCCAGCTACTCTCCCCAGCAAGGGTGTGGGAAGCAAGGTCCCAGGACATACAGGGGAGCCCTGAGATGCTGTTCTGGCTCAGTTGCCTCTTTCTGCTCTGGCTCTCCAGCCTCTTTCCCATGAGCCTGCCTGGCGTGAACCTAAGAGTCCACAGCAAGGGCAGGAAGTGCAGTATGGAGACAGTCACATTTCTCACACTCAGCTCATGTGTTTCAGGTGCTGGCTATCACATGACGCTGGTAAAGGAGCCACACTGCAACCCTGAAGGCATCTCCCAGCTGGTGCACCACCATGTCCCCAATGCCACACTGGAAAGCAGTGTTGGGGCTGAGCTGTCCTTTATACTTCCCAAGGAGAGCACGCACAGGTATGCGTCCTAGAAATATGGGCACATGGTATGCCTCTCAGGGGAAGTGCACTGGTGCAGAGCTAAGAAGGGAGCCAGAAAGCTCCATGCTCAGAATTGCCCACTGTCCCTCTCTGGCTCAACCAATGGCCATCTCCCAGCCCCTGGCCTGTGGACAGTCAGCCCACGTGGAACCTGCTCACCTGCATTTCAGGTGCCAGGCTTCCTGGGTGGAGCTGAGGAGGAAGTGGTGCTTGGTGCCTGCCTCCTGTTCATACCCAGCCCGTGGCTCCATCCTAACATAGGGTTCAACATGTGCAGCAGCAGCAGTGCTCAGATACATCATGGTGCTGAGAATGTGCATTTGCACACAAGTTACAAATGTACATAACTTCTCTGTCTCAAAATGTGAGGCCTGGGCACCCGCCATGGCACTGTCACCAAGGGCAGATCTACCAGGGCCAGGGGAGAAAGCCAAGCTTTTCATTCACACTTGGTACTGGAATGGGTGGGTGGGTGAGTAGGTAGGTAGATTTTTTTATCAATGGGACATAGATTTTATTGTACACTTAGTCGTAGATGTCTCTGTTAACTTTGAAAGTGAATGATTCCCTTCATCAGTACAGTTTTGCAGAGAAAATGCAGGGGCAACAGGATATAGTTCAACAGAGAACCTTGATAACAAAAAGGCTTGGAATTATTCCTGGGGGACTGCACTCATAGGTTTCAAGGCTGCACAAGGTCCCCTTTCTCTTAGCCCCCTGGGATAACACTAGCAAGAGAGTGTTTTCTTCTGCAGCTGGATTGACTCCCAGGCCAAAGGGTCCCACAGAGGCAAGGGGGGAGGCCTGGAGGAAGGCTTGACACAGGTGGGTGGGCTGGTCAGCAGAGGAGTGGACAGGAGTCCAGGGGACTCCTTGCATCAGCAGATATCACAGGTCTGGGGACATCAGCCAAGCCACCCACACCAAGTAAAAGACTTCTCTGAATAATGTCTGCCCAGAGTGGACTCAAAGGGATGTGGCTACACATTCTGGTCAACTGCCATTTTGCTGCCTCCCCCTCCCCAGGGCCCCTGCCACCATCTTGTGACCTGGGCAGGATTTATATCTTTTGGGTATAGTTTAGGGGCTTGAACCCAGGGTTTCATGCATGTGAGGCAAGCACTGTACCACTGAGCCACATCTCCAGCCCAGGGTCTATATCTTAAAAGTACAATTCATCATGCTATATGTTTGATTAAGTAATGTGAGTTGTTTGATGCTGTGCTGGGGACAGAACCCAAGGCCTCACACATGCTAAGCAAGCATTCCATCACTGAGCTGCACATGGATCATTTGCTTTTATAGCTGCATGATGCTCCACGACTTGGGTTGATAATCTAACATGTGCTTCATCATCATGCACTCATGTTGTTCTCCAAAATATATGCTAAGAATCATCCTCCTAGAAAACACTTGTCCAGATCTCCAATGATTGTCCCACATCCCCCCACCCAGTAGTGGGGTAGTTATTACCAATTTCCTTTTGGAAAGGAGTTGACTTTGCTTCCCCAGAAGCAGGATGGGGAGTGCATTTTATGTCTCCGATGCAGCACTTTTGTTTTTCTTTGCAGTGCTGGGGATGGAACCTGGGCTCTCAGGCAGGTCTCGCACATGCTCTTCCACTGAGCTGCACCCCAGCCCTACAGCTGCAGCTTTGAGTAGAATTTTTTCCCCAATATTTTTGTGTTGAATGATGAAGAAGCACATAGCCAACTGATTCACCTCTCTGAGGTTCCTGTCAGTAGGAGGTGAAATATTTCTAGGCCTGGTGGCTTTAAGAATTGCCTCAGCTGGGTGCCCCCTTGCCCCTCCCCCATCCTACCTGGAGGCAATTATATTGGAAAGAATTGCCTAGGAAGTCTCTGAGGAGCATCTCATCACTCTGGGTCTTTTTTCAGGTTTGAAAGTCTTTTCACTAAACTGGAAAATAAGCAGAAGGAATTGGGCATCGCCAGCTTCGGGGCCTCTGTCACCACCATGGAGGAAGTCTTCCTTCGGTCAGTAAGCACATGCTCCAGGTCTGGCACTGGGAGTGAGTTGGTTAAGGGACCTACATAAGGCAGTCAGTTTGATTCTGCTCTGGAGCCTGGCCCCTGAGTTTAGATGTGACTGACGTCAACTGAAGCAGAGAAGCTGCGGCTGATTCTGGAAGAACTGTTTGAACTTCTCCAGGGTCCCTCCCAGGAGACCACCCACACAGGGTCAGGCGTCAGGGAAGTGTGTAGCTGCTGATGTCTTCTGGCTCAGGTCCTCCAGGATGCCTGGGTCTGCACCAAGCACCTGAGGTTTAGCTTTCAGACCCTCAGAACTGTGGGTGAGCAGCAAACCACTGACATTTATCAGACATTTGATTGACAGGATTTTGCTAAATTGCCCAAGCTGACCTCAGACTCCTGCCTCAGCCTCCCAAATAACTGGGATTACAGGTGTACATTCCTATGCCCAACTTGTCAGACTTTTCTTGAATGCTTGTATGGCAGATATAGTGCTAAAAACTCAAAATAAAAACACGAGTCCATTTTCCTCCTTGAGGAGCCCATGGCCTAGAAGAGGCAACAGAATAAGTGACCATAAATTGAGGCCACATGAGGAATGCTCTGTGAACATCTCTACTGGGAGGTGGGGGAAGCCACAAAGGCCAGCATGGCCTCAGGGAAACCAGTGGGGAGAGGAGGTTCAGGAACTTGTGTACCCAGGAGCAGACGTCTGAATCAGGGCAGGTGACGGGGTAGGAAGGAAGAGGTTGCTCGCTAAACTGAGTCCAACACCGCAGAGCAACTCTCCACGAGTCTTGGTGGATAAAGAAACCACAGACCAGCCTGGCACTGGCTGCACCTGGCGGTCAGGGACTGGGTTGCTCTCAGCAGCCACTTGTCTTGGCTTTCCTTTCTGGCCCAATTCACTCTGTCTCCTTGCTCACGTTCAACACATGACCCCACTTGTTCTCCCGCCATGTCCTCATGCCTCAGTTCCAGACCCCCATCCTTGACAGTGGTCTCTCTGAGCCCCTAGTTTCAGGAGAAAAACAAGCAGAGGCTCTGCCCAGCATGCCCAAGACCCTCTGGTAGCCAGAGAGGCAGGCAGGCCACCTAGCCACTCAGGAGGTAGATGTAAAGGTTTCTATTCAAAGGGAATACTAGAGAGGTAGCCACAGGTATCTCTAACTTGAATCTGTGATGGGAGTCTGAAAAGACAAATGGACCTGGGACAATTGATGTAGCGGAGAGGCCTTTCCAAAAAAACTGAGTCCAAGTCCTTAGGGCCAGCTTGGGAGAAGGAAAGCAGGTGGGCAGGTCTATGTAAAGATTTCCAGAAGATGGCAGAAATAAGCTTAGAAATAGGCCACACCAGAAAGCACCTCTTACCAGGCAGAGTGGCACACACCTGTAATCCCAGCAGCTTGGCAGGCTGGGCAGGAGGATCACAAGTTCAAAGCCAGCCTCAGCAATGTAGCAAGACTCTAAGCAACTTAGTGAGACCCCCATCTAAAAATAAAAATAATAATAAACAGGCTGGGAATGTGGCTTGGTGGTTAAGCACCCCTGGGTTCAATCCCTAGTACCAAAAAAAAAAAAAAAAAAGTACCTCTTGTGCTCAGCAGTTTCAGTTGTATTTTCTGATCCAGGGAGCTGCTAGAGGGGATTTGTGTGTGTGTGTGTGTTTAAAATATATATATATTTAGTTGTAGGTGAACACAATACCTTTATATACCTTTATTTTATTTATTTTTAAACAGTTTTTTCTAGTTGTAGATGGACACAATATCTTTATTTTACTTACTTATTTTTTTATGTGGTGCTGAAGATCGAATTCAGTGCCTCATGCGTGCTAGGTGAGCGCTCTACCGGGCTATAACCCTAGCCCTCGAGGATTTGTTTTTAAATAACAACAGCTTTATGAAAATATAATTTACATAATATTTTAAAAGTTCACATTTTTGGCCTGGTGATACAGGGCTCTTACTGTATTCACAGTTTTGCAGTCATCACTATAATCAACTTGAAAACGTTTTTGTCATCCTCTACCCTGCAAAAATCCATATCTATTAGCAGTTGCTCCCCCACCCCCACCCCTGGAAAACAGTTCTGTTTTCTTTCTTTCTGGATTTGCCTGTTATGGGCATTTTATATAAATTTCACCATATAGCATGTGATGTTTTTTGTCTCATCTTTCAATTAGCACATTGCTTCAAGGTCCATCCATGCTGTGGCCCATGTCAGAATGTCACTCCCTTTTTTGGTGCACAATGCTCCATCACACGGACAGACCAGGTGTTGTTGGCCTATGTGTCCATTGAGGGACACGTAGGTGGTGTCAGCCTCTGACTTTAGGAATCATGTGGCTGTGAACGTGTTGTACATGAGTTCATGTTCTTACTCCTCGTGGGCACATACCTAGGAGTGTGTGGTCATGTCTTGTTCCTCCATCCTGACGAGCATCAGTCCTTATTGAGAGCACTGCTGTCAGAAGCACTGAACCAGAACATCCACCAGCTTCTTCAGCTTGTCCGTTCATTCATTCATCCCTGTGCCCATTCATCCTTCCATCTGTACCCAGCTGAGCAAGGCCCAGGTGGGGCACTGCCCCTGAGAAGCATCCAGGCTCATGGGGAGACTGACCAAAGAACATTCCTAGCCAGACCCTAATGGGGATGGCACCCATGAAAGCACTGATACCAAGGATCCTGACAGCTGGGATAAGGGGGCTCTCAGGCTCCAGTGTGGCCCAGCACAGCCTGACCTGGGGTTGGCCCTCCTAGAGCACAGTTGTCCATCTCCCAGTCTCCCTGGGCAGTGAGTGCCCCTGGCTGCCTTGCCACAGTCCAGTGCTAGCTGCGTGATGGGCCCTCCCCAGGGCCACTCTCACTCCCCAAGCCCCTTCTATCCTCTTGAAAACCCTGGTTATAGATGCTAACTCTGGGCAGTCACAATGGCACACACTTGTAATCCCAGCAGGTCAGAAGGTTGGGGCAGGATGATCTCAAGTTCAAGGCCAGTCTGGGCAACTTAGTGACACTCTGTATCAAAAATAAAATTTTTTTAAGGGCTATAGGCATATCTTAGTGGTAGAGTGCCTCTGGGTTCAATCCCCAGTACTGCAGTCAATCAATCAATACATACATACATACATACTAATTAAATAAATAAATGCTAATTCTGGGCAGTGAGGCTGGAGAACAGGGGCCTATGGGAAGGAACTTCTTTGGCTGCATACAGATGATGGTCTGGAGATATTTCTTGATGAATCAGTGAATGAATTCCAGAGATATGAAATGATGGATGAATGAGTCAATGAACAAGCGAATGAATCTGAGATTGTTTTGCTTCAAAGCCTCTGACGGTGGCCCTCTTTCCTTGGCCCTTCCCTCGGTAGAACAGAAGTTTTTCTCCCCTACCCTAAAGCTGGATTGTGACCCAGGCCTATGTGTTCTGGCACAGGGTTGGAAAGTTGGTAGACACCAGCATGGACATCCAAGCCATCCAGCTCCCTGCCCTGCAGTACCAGCACGAGAGGCGGGCGAGCGACTGGGCTGTGGACAGCAATCTGTGCGGAGTGATGGACCCGACTGACGGCATTGGCACCCTCATCGAGGAGGAGTACACTGTGGTCAAGCTCAACACTGGGGTGAGCGCCCTGGGCTGGGGCCATGTACTAGCCATCATGGGACAGTTGGAAGTCCCCTGGGCCCCTTGTTACGGTCATTGTCACAGGAGGGTCCTCAATGGCAGGTATAGGCTTCATGAAGGCCAGTGGAGGACAGAGGGCAGATCATGGCTTGGCAGGGAGAAGGGCAACTGGGAGCATTTTAATGGAGCAATTGAAGTGTCTTAATGTTCTAACTTGGGCACTCACAGATAAGATGGAGTGTTTGCTTATAATATCAACAGTGCCCTGTGCGAGCCAGCTCTGTTGGTCTGGCTTTACAGCAACCTGGTGAGGTGAAGGGCAACCCTGTTCTCAGTTTATAGACAGGAAACCAAGGACCAAGCAAAAGTTGAAAGGTTCCCACATGGATTGCTAGGGCCTAGGCCTGGATAGCCTGACTCCAAGCCCCTGAGGCTCTTTGCACTTAGGAGGGAATAAGGGCAGGTGAAGGAGGTGAGGTGGTCTGCTTACACATGAGCTATACCAGGGCCTCCTGTCCAGTGATGCCTTCAGAAGGGACCAGGGACGGCAAGGACCCCAGGCCTGTCCCCAGTGCTCTATGATGAAATAGTGTCTTCCACGCCTCCTGGCTGTGCTGGGATCCTGAGAGCCCATGTGCAGAACTGCCAGGACACATTCGCCTGTGCCCTCCAATACCTTACTGAGCTCCTCCTGTGGCCCCAGGGTGTGTAGGTCACTCCTGCTGTGGTTGCCTGAAAGCCCCCAGGCAGGTGCCACATCAGGGCAGTGCTACCAAGGGCTGGGTGGATCAGATTCCACCTCCTAGATAGAGCCTACATCACCTGAACCCCCTCTGCTGTAGCTTGCCCTCCACTGCCAGCAGTTCTGGGCCATGTTCCTGAAAAAGGCCACATACAGCTGGCGGGAGTGGAAGATGGTGGCAGCCCAGGTCCTGGTCCCCTTGACCTGCGTCACCCTAGCCCTCTTGGCCATCAACTATTCCTTGGAGGTCTTCGATGATCCCATCCTGAAGCTGAGCTTGAGCGAATACGGCAGAACTGTGGTGCCCTTCTCAGCTCCCGGCACCTCTCGACTGGATCAGCAGCTGTCGGAGCTCTTGAGAGACGTGCTGCAGGCTGAGAGGCAGGAGCCTCGCGAGGTGCTGGGTAAGAATAGTGGGGGCTAGAGCTGAGTGGTGCAGTTTCTGACTGCTGTAGTGCCAACATCTGGCGTGAATGGTCCCCGTGGATGTTTAGCGGTATCCCTGCCATTGTCCCCTATCCCGTCATGACAATCAGGAATGCCTTTAGACATCGCAGATGTCTGGTGGGCAGGAGAGCATGGCCATGAGGCAGAACTAGTTCCCTGGACACCTGAGACATAGGCACCTCAGTAGAGTAGACCAGGTCAGGCGATCATTTTCTGCAGCTGTTTTTCAGGACCATTACAAACAAAATGCAGAAACCGTTTTGAGTTTCTAGCATCCACCCTGGGCTTAAAACAACCATGCTCTGGTTAAACAGAATGTGCTGGAAGGCTTTGTCATCTTATCACTCCCTCCTTTATCCTGATCAGCAGTACTGAGGTTCAGTAGATGGAGTCATGACAAAATCTTGGCAGAAACAAGATTCTCCTTAGAAGAAGGTTGACTTGTGTCGGCAGCGGGGAGTGAGTGGCACTGCAGAGAGCACAGCTGGCAGGGAGGAGCCCCTGCATCCCAAGGTCCCAGCTCAGTTGTGCCCATGGTTGGGTCCCTGATGAGCAGCACAGAGATGGCAAGTGGGCACCCCCACCTGTCCCTGCCCTGCATCTCCCAACACTGCCACTGCTCCCCAGGTGACCTGGAAGAGTTCCTGGTTTTCAGGGCATCAGTAGAAGGAGGCGGCTTTAATGAGCGGTGCCTGGTGGCAACATCCTTCAGAGACGTGGGAGAGCGGACGGTGGTCACCGCCTTATTCAACAACCAGGCTTACCACTCCCCAGCCACCGCCCTGGCCATCGTGGACAACCTTCTATTCAAGCTGCTGTGTGGCCCTCGGGCCTCCATCATGGTCTCCAACTACCCCCAGCCCCGGAGTGCCCTACAGGCTGCCAAGGACCAGTTCAATGAGTATGTGGGGCCCCACCCTACCCTGTCTGGAGCCTGGAGCTGGGAGCCCCTCTCCAGGACCAGCCACCTGAGGCTCTGCCAAAAATTGCTGATAGACAGAGTTGAGTTTCTGCCCTGCAGACGCTGTTGCTGCTTCTTGGCTGGGGGACCCTGACTCTTTACCCTTTTACATTCACCTTTCCCATAGCTGAAAAATCAGCCCAGGACACCCATCTCACACACATGACTTCTGAGTGCTCATTGGGCAGCTCTGCCTTCTGGTAACAGTAGGGCTGTAAGCAGCCATGGGCGGGAGCCAGGGTTGTGCAGGAAGCACTGGGAAATGGTTTCTGCCTGTCTGGTGGACTCCAGACTGGGAGGCCCAAAGGTCAGGCTGAGGGGTTCAGGCTTATTATAGTGACTGTGGACCAGGCAGGAGGGTGTTGTTCTAACAGCTTTAGGAATACCACCCACTCAGGTACAGTGCACTTATAGAGCACAGCCGGACCATTGTGTATTTCACAGAGGTACACACTTTCATCTCAATGTAACTTTTTGTGTGAGGTGCTGGGGATTGAACCCAGGGCCTCATGCACATGCCAGGTAAGCACTCTACCAGTAAGCCACATCCCCAGCCTCAACATAATCTTATTGAGCATCTTTCCTTTAAGAAAAAAAACAACCAGGACTGGGAATATGGCTTAAGGTAGAACTATTGCCTGGCATGTGCATGAGGCCCTGGGTTCAATCCCTAGTACCAAAAACAAGAAAAAAAAATCCTTTCATGCTTTGTCAGGCGTGGTGGTACATTTTTTGCATGCCTGTAATCCCAGCAACTTGGGAGGCTGGGGCAGGAGAATCACAAGTAAGGTAGCCTGGGCAACCTGGCAGGACCCTGTCTCAAAATTTTAAAAAAGGGCTGGGATGTAGCTCAGTGGTGGAGCACTTATCTAGCATACCTGATAACCTGGATTCAATCCTTTGTACCAAAAAAGAAAACTGTACTCAATAGCAGGTGCTTGCCATTCTCCCCAATCCAGCCCCTGGCAATTGCCATCTGCTTTGTCTTTATGGAGTTGCACTTTTGGGACATTTCTTGGGAGTGGAGTCACACAGTACATGATCCTTTGTGTCTGTATACTTTTGTTCAGGTGTTTTTAAGGTTTCCTCCAGATTCTGGCATCAATGCTTATTCTGTCCCAGCCCCATTCATTGAGATGTTCAGAAGGTTTTTAAGCAACAGAGTAATGCTGTCAGAGCCTATTTCTGGAAGACGTAGACCAGATCTAGAACCCAGAGTGCACTGGGAGCAGGGGAATTTGGCTATGGCAGTGATTCAGGACCCAACAGCAGACCTGGGGCAGAACACCGAGTGCAGTGCATAGGGTTCCCAAGAGACAGTGACAGATGGTACAAGGACAGGTAACACAGGAACTTGGGGAAGGACCTGGAGCCTGCCCTCTGCTAGGTCAGGATATCCAGAGGAAGAGCTGTCCTTGGTGGGGGGTGGATTTTCCTGCTGCTGACCCCCTCAGCTCTATGGTACTCCTGACTGCTCTGAGTGGTTTGACTCCTGCACTGCATGCTTGGATGGTGATGACCAACAGCCTGATCTTTCCTGCTATCTATACATGCTGTGCTCTGTCCTCCCCAGGGGCCGAAAGGGGTTCAACATTGCCCTCAATTTGCTATTTGCCATGGCATTCCTGGCCAGCACCTTTTCCATCCTGGCAGTCAGTGAGAGGGCCGTCCAGGCCAAGCATGTCCAGTTGGTGAGCGGTGTCCATGTGGCTACTTTCTGGTTCTCTGCTCTGCTATGGGACCTCATCTCCTTCTTGGTCCCTGCTCTGCTGCTGTTGGTGAGTACTGGACAATGCCAGACCCTGCCCTGCAGACCACAGGGAGCTCACTGGGGACATCTGTTGTAGAACAAGAATCAATGGAAAAGTCCAGCTGGTGGCTCAGCCCTGACTCCAGGAGGACAGGGATGGTACCTACCTGTTGCCTCTCTGTTTTCCCAGCCCTTGCCCACTCTTGGGTAGGCAGGGCCTGGAGCCAGCTCTCCTGGTTCCAGCTCCATCAGTCAAGGGGAGAAGAGGAAACTGCTGGTCAGAGAGGTTGCCAGGGCTAAGAGCTGTCGAGGGGCCAAGGACTGAGGGCTGGGTGATTTGGCGGGACCTAAGGACCATCAGATGCTCCCTTCAGTCCCCTTCCCCACCTCTGGGAGCCACCTGCTGGCCTGTGCTGAGCAGCCTCATCCATGCCACTGCAGGTGGTGTTCAGAGCCTTCGATGTTCGCGCCTTCACGCGGGATGGACACATGGCTGACGTGCTGCTGCTGCTTATGCTCTACGGCTGGGCCATCATCCCCTTTATGTACCTCATGAGCTTCTTCTTCTCGGGCGCATCCACCGCCTACACCAGGCTGACCATCTTCAACATTCTGTCAGGCATTGCCACCTTCCTCGTGGTCACCATCATGCGCATCCCAGGTGGGGGCATGAGAACCACCTGCACCTCCTGGCCCCCATGGAACTTCCCTGACAGCCACAGTGGTGGGTGGGTTCTGCAGCACCCCCAGGGGCTGTCCCAGCACCTGCAAGGTCCTGCAACCTGGGTCCTGCCTTTCCCTTCCTGGGTCTATCTTCAGGTAGCTATGGTATATCCTCCAGTGCTAACTGGTCTATATCTCCTCACTGTAGCAGTGAAGCTCGAAGAACTTTCCAGAACCCTGGATCACGTGTTCCTGGTGCTGCCCAACCACTGTCTGGGGATGGCTGTCAGCAGTTTCTATGAGAACTATGAGACACAGCGGTACTGCACCTCCTCAGAGGTCGCCGCCCACTACTGCAAGAAATACAGTGCGTGTCCAGACCCCTCCCTTGGGGCAGCCCCATCCTCTTGGCCTCCATCCAGGGCAGCCAGAGTGTCCCCAGCACTCCCCCAGACAAGGGGCTTCATTGGCCCATTTCCTGTTGTTGTAACACAGCACCACAGAAGGGACAGAAGTCAAGAGTCTTGTTTCAGCTCAGGGCCATCCAAGGCAAGGACCCACATCTGGTGATGGCCTCCTTGCTGGCAGAGTCCAAAGGCAACTCCAGGCATCATGTGGCCCGAAGCAGTGATCACAAATTCCTGTGTGTCTTCTGGTGTCTCTCTCTCTCTCTCTCTCTCTCTCTCTCTCTCTCTCTCCTTCCAAAACCACCAGCATTGTCACTAATCCCAGTCACTTCCCAAGGCCCCACCTGTGAGCACCATAGCTGGATTAAGCTCCCACCCTCTTATTGCTTCACAGTAGAGATCATACTTGCACACATGAATCCTTGGGAAACACTCAGACCACACCCAAACTGCAGCAGGACTCCTCTGTGTTCTGAGCAGCCAGATGCTTGCCCAGATCATCCCCACATCCATTCCAGCCCTGCTACTGCCCACATGTTCTGGGCCTGCCCTGGTGTTTCTGTTCTTTGTACCTGTCTTTGTGTCCTGTGGCCTCTAGAACAGAACCATAGCTTCACAACAGACCTGTATCCTCTCAGGAGTCTGGAGGCCAGAGGTCCAAGTCAAGGCATAGTGGGGTAGGATGTGTTCCTTCCTGAAGCTCAGGGAAGGATGTCTTCTGCCCCTAAGCTCTCAGGGCTCCAGGCACTCCATTTCTGCATCTGTCTGTACTTGGCCTCCTCCCCTGTATCTCTGGATCTCAAACTCCTGCCTGTTATAAGGACAGTTGTTGTTGTTGGATGCAGGGCCCACCCAATCCAGTATCTCACCTTAAGACCACTAATTAATTATACCTTCAAAGACCCACTTCTAAACAAGGTCACATTAACAGGTTCAGAGCGTTAGCACTTGGACCTATCTTTGCGGGGCCCTTTCTGTGCAGGCAACTGGGTGGTCAGCTCTGCAGAACCCTGCGCACCCTAAGGCAGGCCTACCTCCTTGCTTTGCTCCTGCTGAGTGCCACTCATAGGGCCTGTGACTGTTGGTCATGTGCCATTCCTTCTCTAAACCATGGGCACCTCGAGAGGGGTCGAGATGTTGGCATCATCACAGAACAGTCCCCAACTCAAGGTCACCGCAAGTGATGAGCGGCACAGCAGGGCAGCATCCACCCATCACAGGTGTGCGAGGGGTACCTTACATGGCAAAATCCCCATGGCTAGGAAGTGCCTGAGGCTTCTATGTGGCATTGACAAGCACAAGGCACACACTCAGGAAGAGGAACATGGAGCCTTGGTAGAGAGAGTGCAGGGCCAGCGCTGGGACCCAGGAGGGGAGGAGGCTGCTGTGGTCACAGACTCAGCCTGGTTCCTTGCCCCTCACAGATATTAAGTACCAGGAGAACTTCTTCGCCTGGAGTGCCCCAGGGGTTGGCAGGTTCATGACCTCCATGGCTGCCTCAGGGTGTGCCTACCTCACCCTGCTCTTCCTCATTGAGACCAACCTGCTGTGGAGACTGAGGACCTTTATCTGTGCCTTCCAGAAGAGGTGGACATTGGTGAGTAGCTGCTGAGCAGCTCAGGTACACTGGAGGTCTCCATCCCTGACACAAACACATCAAACACAGCCTGTTGAGATCACATTGGAAAAACGTTCACCTGGGGTGAACTGACTTCTCTAAAGTACTAAGCCTCTTCTAAAAAAGGAGTGATCTCCATGTGTTACAGTGGAGCCTTACTGGTTGCATGCGGTGACCCTCATCTATTGTCCCAGCTACTCAGGAGGCTGAGACAGGAGGATCACTTGAGCTCAGGAATTCAAGGCCAGCCTGGGCAACTTGATGAGACCCAACTCAAAACAAACAAACAAACAAAAAAAAAAAAACAACCTTCACATCCTTGAGTGAAGTTCATGATTCTGTGAGTCCCTTACAGAGTTTGTTCCCTGGATGCTGACCTCAGCCCGAGGCTACTGCTTCTTATAAAGGTCTGAGTGCACATGGGGCCTGTACTGGGGTGACACACCTTGGAGTCCTTAGTCCCCTTGCATGTCCCACATCAACCTCAGCACCTGCTCTTCCTCCACGGGGCTGGGGTTCACACATGTGATCTTTATCTTGAATGACTAGGAAGAATTGCACAACCGGACATCGGTGCTTCCCGAGGACCAGGATGTGGCAGATGAGAGGAGCCGAGTCCTGGCCCCTGGCCTGGACATCCTGCTGCACACGCCTCTGACCATCAGGGAGCTCTCCAAGGTAGTGTGGGGACCCTGCCCTCTGCTGGCCACCACGTGGGCTGGGGTCATGGAAGCTGGCTGAGGACAAAGGCTTGGGTCCCGCTCACCCAGTGCCCTCTGCTGGGTGCCCTGCAGGTGTATGAGCAGCGGGTGCCCCTCCTGGCTGTGGACAGGATCTCCCTCACTGTCCAGAAAGGGGAGTGCTTTGGCCTGCTGGGCTTCAACGGAGCCGGGAAAACCACGACATTCAAGATGTTGACTGGGGAGGAGCCCATCACCTCAGGGGATGCCTTTGTTGAGAGCTACAGCATCAGCTCTGACATTGGGAAGGTGGGTACCCTGCAAGGTAGGGTACGCAAGGCAGAAGGGGTGCCCTGAAGGCAAGGATGGCTGGCTTCTGGCTCCGGGTGGACACAGCACACAGGAGAACAAGGTGGTAATGGTGCCAGAGCTGAGCAGGAGAGATGGGGCTAAATCCCATGAGCCAAGAAATGCAGACTGCACCACCGGAGCCACCTCTGCCAAAGCCCACTGTGTCCAGGGAATGTGCCTCAAGGGAAGGGACAAAAGTGAAGGCCCAGGGCCCACCCACAGTTTCCCCCTAATTGGGCTGAAGCCCACAGGATGAGGATGGACAGGGCAGTTCTCATGCTCCCCGACCTCAGGAGATGGCACAGCAGATGGCTGTGTGTCAAGCAGAGCAGGGAAAGGAAAGGCAAAGAGCCTGTGCCTGTGAAGGGACCACAGCTCTTCTGAGCTGGCAGCAGGGGGCTCCAGGCGGCAGTGCCCACAGGAGTTAGAGTGCACAGGGGTCACAGGGCCCCTCCAGAGGGAGGCCTGTCCTCGTCCCAGGAGAGTCCCCATACAGTGTGTCCAGGTCTGTGAGCAGTGCACAACAGGCAATGAAGGGTATGGGCGACTGGAACCCACAGACACAAGGCTCCACAGGAAGAGCGAACCCCAGCTGCTGGGTTTCTAGAGTGTAAAATAATGTTGTGTTTAAAGAAGTAAACGAAGCTAGGCACGGTTACACCTGCAACCCCAGTGAGTGGGGAGGCTGAAACAGGAGGACTAAAGGCTCGAGGCCAGCCTTAGCAACTTAGCCAGACCCTGTCTCAGAATTTAAATTCTCAGAATTAAAAATAAAAAGGACTGGGCATGTAGCCCAGTGCTACAGCATCCCTGGATTCTAACCCCAGTACTAGGAGAAAAATAGAAGTGTCATGGCTGGAGACCTCTGCAGGGAAGACAGAACTATATACGATCTGGAAATGGAAGGTGAAAAACAATGCTCTTTACATTTAATCCAAGTTCCAAAAGGATAGCACTGGTGGGGCTAGAGAGTAATAGCCAAACAGATAACCTAAGCATTTTCCCAGACCAATTAACAACAGATTCTAGAACTCCAAGAAGGGTGAAGAAAAAGAAATTCAGTCCTTGGAATCAGAAGAACCTGGGCAGGCTTGCCTCTAACAGCTGCTGGGGCACATGCCCAAACCCTGAGAGACCAGCTTCTGGGCTGTCCTGCTGAGTAATGTCCCTCCACCGAACTCCCTGCAGAGCTGCTGACGGTGTGCACCTTCTGCTGGAGGAAGAGGAAAGGCCCCAGCGTGTCAAAGGCCATTAAATATCTGATGCACAAACGTGCCGGTGGTCAGTATGTGGTCTTGCACCGCGATGGCTCTTATGAAGCCATTTTTGCACTAGCCTGCCCCTGTGGCTGCCAGTCTGGAACAGGCTCTCTGCTGGACCATGTGCTGGCTCATTTCTGACATCTCTGGGAACCTCCCCGAGCCAGCCATGTCCTTCCTGCGTCCCCACTGAGATACTTCTCGGTGAGCTTCAGCTGAGTGCAGCCACCAGGGCCTGGGCACCAAATCCTTGGATCACCCTGGACAGACTCACTGGAAGAGCCCAGAGACAGACTTGGGGCAGGCAGGCACCATGGCATGTGGTTTGTATGGTCTTCTGACAGGAAGCAGCTTCCCTCTGACCTGCTTCTTCCCTGGGCTGTGTCCTAACCCAGGTGCGGCAGCGGATGGGCTACTGTCCCCAGTTTGATGCCCTGTTGGATCACATGACTGGCCGGGAGATGCTGGTCATGTATGCTCGGCTCCGAGGCATCCCTGAGCACTTCATTGACCCCTGCGTGGAGAACACACTGCGGGGCCTGCTCCTGGAGCCACATGCCAATAAGCTGGTCAGGACCTACAGGTACGACCTGAGCCCAGACCCAGGCCCTGTGAGGAGATGACCCCTGGCCCTGCCCAGAGTGGAGCTGGGGGGGGGGGTCTCCTTTTAGATCCAGGGTGGGGGGACTGCACAAGTCAGCTCCTGCCTGTGGCTCAAGGATCAGGCAGGGATTTGGTGGCATGACCTAGGTATCACCAGGGGAGAGGGCTGCCCTGATGGTTCCTGCCATTACAAACAAGGCCAGCCAACAAGCGATGTTGGGCACCCTGTCAGGTCCCCTTCAGTACAGAGATGTTCCTACTCCATGTAGTAGACCCATCCCCTACACAGTTCTAAGACTTCCAGTTCTATGCAGTGGGTTTTCTTGGCCCAGTCACCTCCTTCCTTCCTCTCCCCTGGGGCACTCTGCAGTCACTGGGCATGGGACCTGGGCTTGTGCTAATTATCAGCCCTATCTCCCACCTGGCACCTCTCCACTCCCAGTGGTGGTAACAAGCGCAAATTGAGCACTGGCATCGCCCTCATTGGAGATCCTGCAGTCATCTTCCTGGATGAGCCATCCACCGGCATGGACCCCGTGGCTCGGCGCCTGCTCTGGGACACTGTGGCCCGGGCCCGTGAGTCTGGCAAGGCCATTGTCATTACCTCCCACAGGTAAAGCCTGGGTCTCTGTGGGTCAATGGAGGAGCTGAAATGGGTGGCTGGGGAGGGGCCAGGGAGCCAGACCACCTGTGAGCAGCTGGCATAGAGATTCCCCAGGTTTTGCATGTGGCCACACTCAGCATGGGAATCAGGAACAGCCTGATCTGGGCATTGACACCTTCTGTCTACACAAGGCTTTTATACCTAGGGTGGGCTTCCGCTTCCCCCAGCCCTGTCTCAGCTCTACTCCCTGTCCTCAGCATGGAGGAGTGTGAGGCCTTGTGCACCCGGCTGGCCATCATGGTGCAGGGTCAGTTCAAGTGCCTGGGAAGCCCACAGCACCTCAAGAGCAAGTTTGGCAGCGGCTACTCCCTACGGGCCAAAGTCCGAAGTGAAGGGCAGCAGGAGGCACTGGAGGAGTTCAAGGCATTTGTAGACCTGACCTTTCCAGGTTTGTGCTGACCCTGGCAGCCTCCACTGGGGGTGGGAGGCAGGCCTCTGCTGGACCTCTTTGCCTGACCCCTGCCAAATCCCACATCCCTGACCCTGAGGAAGAAGACCACAGTCCTGTGCACCTAGGCTGTCCTCTCTGGCCCTCCAGCCTGGACCTCATGGGAACATGGTCTCTCCTTTGTGCAGGCAGTGTCCTAGAAGATGAGCACCAAGGCATGGTCCACTATCACCTGCCTGGTGGCAACCTCAGCTGGGCCAAGGTGAGTATAGCCCCCTCCCCAGCCAGGTGCTAACAGGGAAGGTCCCTTGGAGCCTCCCAGTCTTCCACAACCCCAGGCTCTTGTGGGAGGAATCACTTTCTCTTTCTTCTCTCACTGTAATTATCTGCTAGATTTGGGTTTTATATGCAAAATATTTGAATTGAAAGGAATTCAGTGCAAAAAAAGGATGCTGGCATAGTTTACCCAAGATCAGACCCCGAACTGGGAACTGGGCCAGGAGGAAGTCCAGCCCTTGCTGCCCTTGTGCAGCCAGCATCTCTCCCTGAAAGCTTGACTGACCTCTCCTAGGGACTTTGGGGTGGGGTTGAGCAAAATAGGATCTTGAGTTTGTGGTACTAGTGACTGAACCCAGGAGCACTTTACAGCAGTGTTACATCCCCATTCCTTCTTATTTTTTATTTTGAGACAGGGTCTCACTAAGTTGCTGAGGTTGTCCTTGACCTTGCTATCCTCCTGTCTCAGCCTCCCAAGTTGCTGGGATTACAGGTGTGGGCCACTGTGCCTGGCTCCTTGCCAGCCTCTTATTGCCAGAGGATTTACCCACCTGCTAGGGAGCCTAGGTCCTGAGCTTTCTTACCAGCTGCTCTTCTGCCTCCCAAAGGTTTTTGGTATCCTGGAGAAAGCCAAGGAGAAGTATGGAGTGGATGACTACTCAGTGAGCCAGATCTCACTGGAGCAAGTCTTTCTGAGCTTCGCCCACCTACAACCCCCCACTACAGAGGAGGGGCGATGAGGAGCCGTCTGCTGCCTCCAGGGCACTAGGCAGGGACTGGACAAGCCTGTGCACAGTTGTGTACCCTCTCCATCTGAGTTTCTCTTATCCTTTATTTTTAATCACTTTTTTCTATGATGATATGAAAAAAAATCAAGGCAGTCTGCACAGAATGGATCAAGTGTGCCAGGGCCCTTGTATGAAAATCAGCATGCAAATTTCCACTCCCAAAGGCAGACTCTATGGAACTCACATTCCCAGGCCCAGAACAGGTCCAGCAGTGTGAACAGGTGAAGAGCTGTCTCAGGACCACAGCTGACCCAGAGACTGAATTTCTCTACATGTTCACAGAAAGAAAGGGCTCTGGGACCTGTCCACGTTTACATATGCACTAAGCTCCCCTGGGGAGGACAGAGGAAGCCAGTAGGGATGAGTTGTGGCAAGGCTCTTCAGGCTGCTGAGGACAAAAAGTTTCAAATGACCTCCATCTGTGAAGGAAAGATATCAGCTGTGACTAGGTGCTGAGACCTCAGTTTCCAGTGCATCCCAGAGGCACCCCAGAGTCGATGCTCCTCAGGGTGTGGCTACCACTCCAGGCCTACCTGACCGCAGCCCAGCACCCTCCCACAAGTATCTTCCAGAAGCAGCCAGCACAGGGAGAGACGGTGGCCAGACTAGGCATACAGTCCTCCTCTGTTCCCAGCTGTAACTCTTGAGAAGCTACTGGCCACAGGACAGTCAGGAAACACTACAGGGACTAAGCAGCTGTCTCCTGCGCATACACTAAACACACTATGACCGTCCAGAAAATAAAGGCTGAGGGAACATGATCACAGCCCACGAGTCACACATGTGATGGGGGGACGGGTCTGGATCATTCTCTCACAGTCCAAATATGCGGCTCTTATACCAAGTTTCAAACACAGAAATTTGCTTTTCCCCATAGGGAGCAAACTTAGAGGATTCATTGCCATCAGGTGACAGAGCAGGCCAGATCAAGAGAACATGGTTGGTGCAGGAGGCCTCTGGCTCCAGGGTCACTTGGGGGCATGAACCATCTTCCCAGAAGATTCTTCAGCATCAGTCCCCCACTCTCCTTTTTTGTGTGTGGTGCTGGATTGAACCCAGGGCTTTGTGCATGTGAGGCAAGCACTCTACCAACTGAGCTGTATCCCCTGCCTATCTCCCTTTTTATTTATGCACTGAAGTTTTAGTTTTCAAAAACTTCAGTGATTCAGATTTCTTTTTTCTGACTGAACCCAGAGGTTCTGAGCCACACCACCCTAGTCCTTTTATTTTTTTTAATTCTTTTTTTAACGTTTTATTTATTTATTCATTCATTTTTATGTGGTACTGACGATTCATTCATTTACTCATTTATTTACTTTTATGTGGTGCTGATGATCAAACCCAGGGCCTCACATGCACTAGGCAAGCGCTCTACCACTAAGCCACAACCCCAGCCCTTATTTTTTTTAATTCTTTTAGAATTCAGTTTTAGAAAAACTTGTTTTCATCACTTTGGCTCATTTGGGTCAATTTCAAATTCATGCCTTTGTTAGTCTTTTAAGATTCACCAAAGCTGCAGATAGTTCCCAGTAGCTCTGCTGCCCCCCTAATTTTCTTTGAATTATCATCTTTTAGTTTCGTGCTATAAAAAATGTTTGCAATGGTTGTTAGGCTGGGAGGTGGGACTGTTCTGGCCATGCAACTTGTCAGCAAGCCTAAGGTTGTCCATTGCTGGGTTTGTGGAGTTGGGGGAGACAGGCCAGTGAACCCACGAGTCCTGCTACAGGATGTCCTTTGACTTGACTTAAATCCCTGTGTTGGAGATTCAGGAATCTCATTTTTCTCCTTTGAGACCATAAGAGGGTGAGAAAAGGTATTTGGTAGGACTTAAGAAACAGCTGATGTGAGACACACACATGAAAGCAGCTTGCTTCAGTACACATGGAGATTGTCATCCTCTCACAAGCGGGAGAGAGCTGCCAGCAGGACTTAGGTGAGGACTGTCACAACCAGAATCCTTTAGGAGATGACCCACAGCGATGGAGAACACTGTGGGAACCAGGAAGGGCAGGCACATATATGGTTAGGAGGTTCCAGAGGTGGCTATGGGAGGAGCCCAGAGCTGCACCCAAGCACAAAGCCTGGGTGACTGCCACAGCAGCCTAGTTAGAAGAGACCCCAGGAGCAACACAATGGGTTGACACTTTGCCTCCCACACCCAGTGCATCTTCAGGGTAAGACACTGTGCTGAACCCCAGTCACCAGAGGAACAGTAAAGACCAAGTCCCAGGAACCCATCCGCTTGGCTCTTTTGAGTTGCAGCAGTTCTAGGCAGGCCAGGGCACCATGGACTCCTGCCCTGCTCTCCTTCCAGTATACTCCCATCCAGACCACCAGGCCCCAGGCTGACCAGTCCTCCCCAGAGGTTCTAGGACCTGCTCTGCTGCTAACTCCAATGAGATCAAGGAGCCACGACTCTGCCTCTGCATCTCTTTGTGGTCCAGCTACCATAGAGTTGAAAATGACACCCGTGGCAAAGCCTGCATGTTTTGTCCTTTAGTCCTGCCTGGTCCAACAGGGTGGCTCAACTGACAGTGTCACCACACCCAGAACTTCAAGGGAGCCCCATGAGGGTGGGTAGTTAAGTCCTGCTATGGACAGGATTGAGTCTGAGCCCTCAATCGCCTTGATAGGTTTAAACGGGAAGGGCTACCTGCCCCCCCCAGCCACCTAGAACAGACTTGCTTCATGCATCAGAAATTCCAGAACACAGATCCAAAGAATACAGAAATGTATTTCTCAGCTGTATGAAGTCAGAGAAGGCAGCACAAGGCTTTGTGTCACCTCCAGGGTCTCGGGGGTCAGGCTCCATCCACCTGTTCCTCTACCCTACTGGGATCCTCCCTCCTTGAGGTCTCCTCTCAGAGTCTATAGAATTGGCAGAAAGAAGGGTCTGTGGGGAGAGGAAAGCACGCTTGGCTGACCTGAAGCCTTGGGGTAGCTCCCCGATGTTGCTTCTGCTATGAATCTAGCACTGCCTACAAAACAGATATGTGGCTACACCAGGTATGAGAAAACCCATAGGCAGGACGTGTGCTGCATTCTCTGTCCTAGAGCACAGGTGGTCCCACGTGCATGCCAGTACTGTCCACCTAAACTGGTAACATGGTACTACAGAGGGTCCCCTTTTCTCCTGATGGGTCTTTATGGCCTGGGCTCTGGGTAGCCTGACAGGGGACTGAAGCTGTGGGGTTGGGCCTGGGGACCAGGGACCCTGCCTTCCTCCTCAACACATGGGGCTGCCCAGGCCCTGCTCCTGGGGCCAAAAACACATACCCCAAAGATACTGGCATCCAGGGCCTCTAGGGTCTGAGAAGGTACATGCATTCCCAGCTACAGTTGGTACCAGGTCTGTTCTGCTGGTCCCTGCTACAGCTTTGCCCCAGATTCATCCAGCACAGTTCATAGCTTTACAACTAACTTCCCACCAGTCCCCATTAAAACCAGGAGGAAGGCTTAGTTGTCATCATCCTTGACTTTCTCATGGTAGAAATAGATACGTGGCTTTGAGCTGAAGATAAGTACAGGCCCCAAACCCTAGTGCTCAGACCCACAGGCCCTTGTGGAGGGCAGCCTGCACCCTGGGTGAGAGTTTATAGGTGCCCTCAGCCCAGAGGGTCCCCCACCTCTTAAGATACAAACCGAGAGCCAGGGAGGCCTCTCACAAGTATAGACCTTTCCAGCTGGAAGAGCTCACCTAAGCCATCTGCCTAACAACCTTTTTAGATCCAGTCTGGCCACCCAGAAGGACCAGCCAACATCTCCTCCCAGGCCCACCCCTTTTCAGACAGATGCCAGGCCCTGGTAACAGGACCCTCAGCACATGTCCTCTTCTGAGGTCTCTGTCACAGTCACATGTCATCACCCTCCCTCCCACCAGGCTGGGTTCACCTGCCCTCAGCACGGCATGGTTTCAGCAGTGGGTAGAAGTGCTCCTTGACGTAGTTTAAAAGGGGTGTGATGCTCATTCAGAGCTGACATGACCTCCACCACAGCCCAGGCTACCCTGATGGACCCCAGCACTGTCCCAGGCTGCCAGTCTCCAAGGGCAGAGACCTCAGACCATTAGGCCCAGAACATTCTCCCTTAACATGGGCACACTCTCAAGAGTGTGCACCCACATTGCTAACAGGTGACCTTCAGCCCTGGGAAGGTAAGGGAGGAGGGCTCAGGACATTCCAGATGTAGGACATGTCCAATATTTTCCATCCTAGAGGGCAGGGTCACATCAGCAGTACTGGGTTCTGGTCAGCTACAGATGCCCCCTCTAGCAAACCAGGGCCAGAGATGCCCTGGTTCCCTGAAGGTCCCACCTCCATGTCTCTCAGCCTTCATAGCCTCCACAAGTTGGCAATGGGGCTGGTATGGTAGATGCCAGGACTCCTGGAAGGGGGGTGGTGCCTAGAATTTCATTCCTCATAATTCTCCCGAACGTATTTTTTAAAATATATTTTTATTTGTAGATGGACACAATATCTTTATTTATTTATTTTTATGTGGTGCTGAGGATGGAACCCAGTGCCTCATGTGTGAGAGGCAAGTGCAACCCCCGCCCCGCCCCCCCACCCTCGCCCCCGCAAACATATTTTTGTTGATACTCAAAATGACAAAAACATCCATCTTCAAAGCCCAACAACTGAAAGCATACTTGATTACCAAAATCAGTAACATTTAGAAACAAATTTGAACAGAGTGCCTGAACAAATCACATTTTGATTTAGTATAAAATGCACTAAAGCTTCTAAAAATGGCAAATTAAATTGCTTTGGATCAAAAGCAAAGCAGGGGGGCTGGGGTTGTAGCTCAGTGGTAGAACACTTGCCTCGCAATCATGAGGCCCTGGGTTCGATCCTCAGCACCACATAAAAATAAATAAATAGATAAATAATAAATAAAGGTATTGTGTCCATCTACAATTAAAAAAATAAAATTAAATAAACAAAAAAGCAAAGCAGGAGAGGAGGTGTTGGCCCAGCCATTTCTGTCCCAACCCCCCTCTCACCACAGTGTGGTACCCAGGCTGCTCCCTTCTCCCCTAGGGTGTCAGTGCTACACTGGGCACAGGCTCTAGGTTTGGGGACCCCAAACTGATGGTGAGTTTCCCTATCTCCTCAGAGAATTCCACATATTGCCCATTGACATCCAGAGGCTGCTTCATCCCGATTACTGACCCTCCAAGGCCCCTTTTTTACTTAAGGGGCAGGTTCAAATCTCCATGCGGCTGGCCTTCTGATCCACTATGCCTCATATGGGGCCACAGCAAATGTGACATTAATGCAGGTAAGTTAACTTATCTCTCTCTTTTTTTAATATTTATTTTTTAGTTGGACACAATATCTTTATTTATTTATTTTTATGTGGTGCTGAGAATGGAACCCAGGGCCTCGCACTTGCTAGGCGAGTGCTCTACCTCTGAGCCACAACCCCAGCCCCAAGTTAATTTATCTCTAAACGCCTGTCATGTCAAGTCTAAATCCAAGAGGGGATACCCAGACCAGACTGACTAGGCCTGCCAACCTTATCCCTAGGAACCAACTGGTGCCTCAATAAAGAGGACTCCTCTCTCCTTTCGACAGCTGTTTTGTTCCCAACTCCTTGGGAACCCCTCAGCCCAGGCTGAAGGGCAAGGACCCCAACTTGACACCTTTACGCAGGGTCAGAGGGATGCACTCTGGGAGTCAGCAGGCACAGGCAGGAAAAAACACTGCAAACCAACCCCATCCTTGCATTCCTTCAGGTCACCACACTGCACGCAGTTCTC